TAACTATATATATTATATATAATATTTATACTTCCCCAATATGTATATATTGAAAAAAATATTTTATATATACATATAATTTATATATATGGAGATCAATATATAAAAAGCGGACAACTTAGTGTATCGCGGCCCAGTCATAAATAAACAATGATTTTGCAATATTTGCGAGCGACTTAGAGCTGAGCGAAATAAAAAAAAAACACCATAATAAAGTCTTTCGCCTTCCTGCATCTATCTACATCTAGTGACTGGCAATTTCAATTTAAAATCTAATGATTAAAAAGCCCATTACTAAACCAGAATAAAACTATGAGAATAGAAGAAGATTGCAGAACAACAAGGGAGCGCAGACTGGTTAAGAAAGCAGGAGGTAATAACACCATGAACTCTCAGCAGCAGCAGCAGCAGCAGGAGCAATCTCAACTTTGATTATTATTTTTCAGCCGTCGCAGAATTTTTTCTTTTTTTTCGTACAAGAAGCTAATTAATTGAAAGGCGAGAGATGTCGAAGTAACCCTCGAATCCCCGGAAATGAGGAAATACACAGCTTGATAAATAGAAAGTATGATCTATTTATGAAATTTCTTTCAACTTAGATGGTGACAAACACTATTGAAATAATTTTGGGTAAACTTTCGAGAAATGAAACGAAAACTAAAATATTTGCGCGGAAAGTGAGTTTTTAGAAGAAAAAAGGTAGAAAATCAGATGCGAATAGAGAGAGAGGTAGAGGTAGAGTGAGGTTGAGGTTGAGGTAGAGAGAGAGAGAAAGGAGAAGAATAGTAACATACTTAATATTGAAAAAGGTTGATAATGATATGCACAAACCTCTGTTTGTCGGTTGTCAATCTCATCTCCATTCTGACTAGGAGTTCCGGATATGCTTCTTTCAACGCTAGATTGTCTCTCCTCACTACAAACCATACTTTCATCCCTTGATAACATTCCATTTCCAGTTAAGAGTGGCGACGGCCTATGGCTAACAAGCTTTAATTCTTCTTCAGCAAACATCTGTAATGGAAGGTGTAAAATATCTGAAATCTTTATTCCGCGTATTTTTTTCAAAGAAAAAAAAGAGAAACAGAAGATAAAAATCTGCAAGCCATAACACAAGAAGAAGAAGGAGAAGATCTAGAAATTTCGTAATTGAAGAAAGTTCACTATGGAAGTGTTAGGAGCAGACGTATTTCAGTACGGATTCGTTGAAGAAGCAAAGAACAAAACGCATATTAGAAAAAATATATTTGAACTGGTCTGAAACTTTTAATATTTTTTTTGGAAGTCCAAACTGAACTATGTATCACGGATAGCAATCCCCGAGGCTCAAGTTTAAAAAAACTTAACAATTCTCAGAAATACAGAGATTGATGGGAAAGATCTTAATAAAGGCTGGAAATAAGAGGAGTGCAAGCGGTCAACATTTGCGCGGCAAACGAACAACTGATTTGGAATAGTTGAAAGAGCGCGCCAAGTTTTCTATGTGGTGGAGGATAGCCAACCATTATAGAAAAATAAAAAGACGTCACCCGCGCATTTGATGATTTTAGCAAAGAAATAGTCGCTATGGCCCGAGTATTCACCAGAATAAAGGGTACTTGTATGTGCATGCGTGTGGTAGGGTTGACGCGCGTTGCGACCGCCCCGCGCCATCTTTTCTCATATAAGGCCTTTATTAATAATAATTTCAGAAAAAAAAATTTATGGATTTCGAAGCATAAGGGCCATGTGACATAGTGCCGGAAGTAGAGAGTGCAATACTTAAGCAGACACTGATGCGACGTCGGACACTAGGGGTGGTCTTCGGCATGGCTAACTACGCTGATAACACACACACATAGACAGAACCTCGCTAACTCCTGTGGTACGACCCCGTTAGCCTACAAGGACAAGAAGCGCAGCTGTCTGTATTCCGTTCAAGTTTATAATTGATAATATCAAATTTAAAGATAGTGGAAGAATAAAAAAAAATAGTAGCTACACGAATTCATGAATAAAGAACAGAAAGAGAAAAGACAATTAGATGAACCGGTTCCAAAATAAATTTAAAAATCGGATAAGAAGATGACGCGCTAAAGCGAAATGCTAGGTTATGAGAAAGACTCATATGGAAATTTGAACAATACAAAGAAAATATAATTTTTTATCTGCTATTGGCTCACAGTCTTTTATGTATATTGAAAGAGAGCAATAATAAATCCCCCTGCGCATTGTAATTTAATCGAACTGCGTCCTTTTGATTAATAACGAAAACCAATTCTCCACTATGTGACACGAGTTACATTAACAATGAGAGAGAGAAAAAAAAATCGAAGTCGAATATGAAAATTTAAAACAAGAAATGAAAGGGCAGACTTAAAAGACAGAAAAAAATTAAATGTGGGAGAGAGAAAGGGGCAGGCAGAGAGGATGAGAGACGTAGGACGCCAAAGTTTCACGCAAAAAAAGAATTCAATAAAGAAATGAAATAAAGTTTTTGACGAATAGACTGTGAGCTTAAAGTCTCATACACATTTAATGCATATATAATAAGTCGAAAGATCATTCCCAGTAGGATGGTAATGTGACAGACCCATTCACACACACACATTCTCATTTGAACGGTTTGAGATTGTCGAAGAATAAAACAAAATTAGTTTCCATGGAATAGTAATAGGAGCGAGTTAGTTTAAGGAAAACGAAAAAATTACATTGCGAACCCAAGCAACCAAAGTCTCTGTTTGAAAAAAAATTAAAAAAAGATTGAAAAGAAAAATGAGAAAACGTGATGACGGTCGACGCATAAAGATAGAGAAATAGAGAAAAAGAGAGAAAGATAAAGAGGAGGAGACAGATAGAGAGACGGTCAACAAAGAAAACACCAGATGGACGCGCAAGGAATCTTACTCTTATATCTTAAAATGCGAAATTCGTTCTACAGCTCTTGTCCTGCTCATTCTCTCTCTCTCTCTCCCTCTCTGTCACAAATAAGCAGATGGGTTTAAATAACTGTAAACAACACACATACACACAAAAATGGTGGATTAATATTACCACAATTAGAAACGTTTGATGATGGAACGGAAGATTTGAAATAAAACTTGAATTGATAGACAAGTAATGGTGATGAGAATGAAGAATGAAGCCAGCAACGAAAAAATGACTACCTAAGCGCCATTTTTTTATGATAAGAACTATGAAAGCGAGAAACATTAACATGAATAGACGTTACTTTCTGTCTACATTTCATACGATAACACAAACTGAGTAGATCGATTGAAAGAAATAAAATTTACTTTTCATACTCGAATTCCTCCCACTATAATCTTCAAAATATGGAAGCCCCAAAAAACACAATATTGTAGCTTATGATAAGAATAATGAGAAAGGAAAACTATAACTAACGGTCTGTAAACAGATCTTCAACAGCAACAAAAAACAGCTGCACTTAATTGGATTACCGAGTTTGGAGTTGAATGATTCGATTAAGAGTAACCGGTGGCATGGCTTCCACGCAGTGGTCAGTCAAGTGCAGCTGCACTAAGCAGCATGTCAGCTTCGACCATGGTGGAGGCAAGCCGAATAATGAGATTTAAAATTTATAAAAGTAAATTTTAAGGATGATGATATCAAATCGGAAATAACAAGGCTGAGACTAAATTCCAGCTGTTGACTATACCAAATATAAAATAGAGCGAAGCAAGGCAAAATAAAATTTATTATGCCGCACACACACAGCCTCCTCTTCTAAACGATATTGCCATCGATTTTAGAGAAATTGCGCTTTTTGTGAAAATAAATGAAAGCTAACAGAAGATAGCAAAAAAAAGAAAAATGACAACGGATTCTGAAAAACACTGACAATTTAGAACAAAAAGATGTCTAATGTGTAATGTGCAATAGCCATCGGCCAATTGCTACACAAACAATCATTTAATTCACGAACCAATTTTATCTCAAGAAACGATTGTCTTATCAAATAAATATAAGAAACTCATATGGCATAATTGTAACATTCGGCGCGACACCGTTCTTCATTCAAGCCAGAAAGAGCATTCTCAAGAAATGACAGTCCGCATTGAGAAAAACAAGAGCACAGCTTATAATATAAACAGAGTGATTAAATTAAAAGACAAACAGATAGAGGAAGGAGATTCGGACAAGACAGGCAGGCTCATTCCTATTCTTTTTTTTCCGGAAGGAAATATGAAAGTTGGCGAAAGTCCGTACCTCTTTCGTGAGGGCAATAATGCAAATAAAAAAGGTGGTCGATGTGCCTCTTGCCTCCTCCCTCCTATTTTATAGTTATTTCTCTTTATGTTCTACTATCCTATTCTGACTCACGTTGATCAATATTCGGGTATTATATTATAAATACTAAGGGTCAACAGACAAAGGCCGAATAAATCTCAGAAAAAGACGGATGGTCCGACTGTTAGCTCTCTTAACGATATTCATACATGAGCTACGCCAAAATGAATATTAAAGCTTACTAATTTACAGATCAGCCAATTATGAGTGGACAGATGGGCAACGAGAAAGACAAAATAGGAAAAGAATAATCGTATTGGTTTCAAAATAAGCTCAAACTTGAAAACCAAATCGAATATACACTAAATATATGATGTATATAAAAAGTAAATACATTAAAAGAGGGTATTAAAGATAATAAAGCAAATAAAAGGTACAGCGATCAAATGCAACGAATCATAGCGAATAATTATGGAATATTAAATGACAAAAGCAAGCAAATTAGAAACAAAAAGGAAAGAAACGATGTATAGCGTTTCCTTGCTGAGGAGGATTAGATGAAAAACGTTCAGTCCACTTGTGCTATCAAAATATTCAATCAGTGATTAAACAGTGTGGAAGACAGTCTTAACTCAACGTGCAGCAATGAATCAAGTCACGAGCGCATATGTAGTCCGAATGCTTATTGTTTCTTAGATCAACGCAAAAACATAAATAACAAACATCGTGAAAGAGTGACTACGAAACGTTAGAAGGTAGTCAACAATCATTAAAAGTTAAATAGAGAACTCAGAAATGTGTCCTATATAAAATAGATAAATAACAGACCAGGTTATGTCTTGCGCAGATTTACGAAAGTTGCTCAAAAAAATTAAAGATCAAATTCGAAAACGAAATCTTTTTGCTAAATCTCGAGCGGGCGCATAAAAAGTCAACCGTTCTGAACGTCGGAACAAACGGTTCGAAAGACGAACACACACACACACACACTACACGAGCAGCAAGATATTTATAAATGTGAACAATAAACTTAGATTATTGAAAAGGGCATAAATTAATTCATTACAATTATTCTATTAGTAACTAATGAATGTATGTCCCTTAGTCCTAAGAAGTAGTGAGAGGCCCAGATGGTACTATGAATAATGGACAATGACCCCCTTCGAGCCAACCAAATATTAAACCGGATTTTCGAAAATTGTCTGCCAATGGATCGACAGATGTCTCCAAAAAGATAGATAGAATCAAATTACATTGAATTAAAAGAAAGCATAAATTAGATAATTGATTACTGACTATTAAACAGTTCAACTAAGAAAGTTATGAGGAATATAAATAATATGGGCATATCCCATATGAGCAGAAGCACTAAAAGTTACTTAATAGAGCCAAAAATATAAAATTGAGATGAGTTCATATTTAAGTGAAAAGCAATATAATATCACATTTCATCATATTTGCCATTTTCACAATGCGGTTTTATATTTACATTAGAAATTCTGATCATTCGCAAACAGCCCCATCAATTGGGTGAACCCATTCCTGGGAACGTATTGGGCAGTATCAAACTCTCTCATTTTTCATTTTCAATAAACCTATCTGACTACTTCGAAATGTGAATCTGACTCAAACTGAAGCAACGAAACTGAGCAAAAAGAATAGTATACATTAGAATTAATGTCACTTAGAATCTGCGCGGAATACACATAAATTATATTGGGCATCAGAGGTTGGGCCATTTGTATTTACAGAGGCTATAACCCCGAAAAGAGCCAGGTCTTTTCTAGTTGAAAAGGTCGAATAAAGAATATTCCAAAATGATGGATATTATATTATTAATACATATATATCCATACACTAGACACTCGTCAGTATTACGAGGTTCAAGGTTGGCAAATCATATTGTCAACCTGTACCTCATAAAACATCTGCCGTATAGGGTGGCCCGAATAATCACTTACAATTGAAACATGCACAGTAGTATTGGAGTGCCAAAAGTTCAATTTTGGAAAAAAAAATTATTCCGCGAAGCAGAAGCTTAATGCTACGCTTGGCAGCGGCGCGAGAATCATCAATCGCATTAACAGTTCTCATACTATATAGATCTACTTAATAAACGAGTTCCAAACTGAGCCATAAACTTCAGTTCCAAAAAATCTGATTAGCCTTCTGCGCCACAGCTCGCACTCGTACATGATGTAAAACTCTTAAAATTCACCCATGATGTATTATTATAATGGCAGTCATTATGCAAGTTTTCATATGTGGTAGTTCAAAGAATGAAGCGCACAATAAGAAATGTGTGTCTCAATGGGGTAATTTTATTTTAGCGTTCCTTCTCTCCTCTTTCTCTCGCTTTAAACAAAACTATTGATCAAACAAGCGGCCACAACTAGAAGAAATTTTGAAATAATATATTTTATAGAAAGGACAAGGGATTAATGAGAATTTCATAAAAGGAGAGCAGTTGGTCTAAGAGTGAGAGAGAAAGAGAAGAAGAGGGTGAGACAACGAAAAATTGGGATAACTACCCACTTAGACGAAGCTATATTAGCAGATGCGCACTGATCAAATTAACAAAAAAAAATAACTCACATTATTCATACCAGCCAGCATTCCATTCAATATTGTCGCCGTTCGCCTGAGTGAGGGTACCTGTAAGAGTGACTAATGACTCATGACTAATGAGAAATGGAATATTTGTGGATTACAACATTCAAATAACTACAAAGAAATGGATCTAGTTTGGATATAATCACATTATCCCCTACATATCTTAACATATCAGCTATCTCCAATACAGAAATAATAATTTCACCGAAGACGTGACCCGCCCTAGCCTAATCGTATACTATCTTTTAAAAGTGGTCCCAAATGGCTTTTGTTATTATTATTATTTCAAATTAACGACATAGTTATCAAGATAAAATCATATCTGTCTATGAAATAATATACAAAACATAGAAACCCCGAGGTCATCAGATTTACAAAAATTAATTTCCGAAATGGAAGTGGAAGATATGGAGGAAGAATTAAGAAATTTAAAAAAAATATTAAAAAACTAACCATCTTCCGAAAAGACGCTGTCTCCGGTTCGAAATCCATCGATCAATAAAAAAAAATGACAATTCTAAGCTAATTAGTGTGCGTTGTATAAAAGAGTGTTGAGATCAATAAAATATTGTAAGTTTATTCACGCGGTTAAATTTACACTACATATTGTGAATGGTCCATGCTTATATCAAAATTCCATGTCTGTCAGTACAGTGCAAGCTTTCTCCTTTTGGGGACATTTTCTTAACAGGCGATCACAAGAATGCTAGTTCGATTGTGTACTGATGATCAAGAGGTAAAAAAGTTTTTTTTTCGAAAATAAAATTGTCATGCTGATATGCCCAGTTGATAGGCGATTCTGTATCATTTAACAAGAAGCATTTTACGCCGATCGGCTGCCTAAACGACTTCAGTCGTCCCATCAGTTTCTTTTATCATCTTGACATTTCTTCTGCATGTAGCCATCGGACTGCTTATATTCTACAAATGAAGAGATAGAAATGTATGGCATAGTCCGTTGGGTGATAGCCATCAACGTCATGTCTTCATCAGTCGAAGTCGTTGTGGTTGGGGTGTAGATGATCACAACCGGTATCAGTCCTTTTCGCTTTCTCCATACCTTCTTCCTTCAATATAAACATCATCCATGGCTATTTTGTCGTTATTGTTCCATTACTTCTAATACTTTTTTTCCAGGACCACATATAACTAACCCCAATTCTTCTATTATCAATCATCTTATCTTAAAAGTTTCTTATTGAACCTTTGCAGTTCACAGCTGTCACTTGCTAGCTTGAACAAGCTTCTCTCTTTCTCTCAATGCCTGCAACCTGATTTCAGTGTGATTTACTCAGAAATTATAATTAATGAGTCAATTGTTGCATTTCAAAACAAAAAACTGTTATAACACTGTTGTGCTCATCACTGTTTATGTTATCCACTGACCTTTTTCTCTGAACATTCTGCACAATCGCAAAGATTAAACACTTAACCTCCAAATAGCATTAGACATTTCTTTCTGATATGGTCTGGTTGAAGAAAATGTTTCTTCACCACTCCCAATCTCAATTTTTTCTTCAAACTTCCACAAAACACTCTGTTCAGGTGCTATGGACTCGTGGCCTCTGATACCAAGTACTATAGCCGCTGGTACATGCATAGGAGCTTTCCTGCTCTCCAAGTACTGGAACACGACACCTGACAATATTGGCGCTTACAGTCGTCATGAACAAGCAGTGGAAATTAAGGTTTTATAGACTTTCCTACACATCGTCTACTTCTTCTCTAGCATTTCTTTCAAGTTTTAAATGAGTTATGTGTTCATAAAAGCAGAAGAAATTTATATAATTCAAAAGAAGTAGAAAATAGAATGTTAAATGCGAAGACTCGACTGACAACTAATCGAAGAGCGTTGAATTCATTCTACCCCCATGCTCCCGATCAATAGAAAATTAGAAAGACTGAACTGTTTGAATTCAGGGAAAGCCGGGAGTTTATAAATCAGCTCTTCTCCAAGATAAGGACGTTGATTTTGTCGAAAACTATTATCCGGAAGTCCAAACACTATATGATGTTTTCACACGAGGTGTCAAGGTATAAAAATACCAAAATAACAAGTTATTTATAATAATCTTGTTTAAGGAAAGTAACAATGGACCATGCTTAGGGACACGTGATACAAACGGGTCCTACAATTATATTTCTTACAAGGATGTTGAGTCTAAAGCCGATGCTTTATCTGCTACATTTGTAACCAAGTGTGGACTTGAACACGGTATTACGGTGTAGTGTAATTTCCAAATGTCACTCTATCCATATTAGGAAACGCTTATATTGGAGTTTACTCGAGGAATAGACCGGAATGGTTTATCTCCGCGTTAGCTTGCATTCACCAGTCATTGGTGGTTGTCCCTCTTTATGACACTTTGGGAGCTGATTCTGCAGCATTTATAATTAACCAGACAGAAATGAAGTATAATTATACTTAAATAAAACAAAATTTGGTTTTTTTTCCCTATTTGCAGAGTTCTAATTGTGGAAAACGCGAAAAAAGTTCGCGAGCTGTTAAGTCGTAAAGCTGAGCTTCCAACTTTGAAAACCATTATCGTCATAGATTCCAAGGAGGATGACGTTAAGAGCTATGAAGTCGTTACTGTTTGTTTTTTCTCTAGATTTTTGCAAGACATTAATAGAACAGACCAAAACTAAAGTGATGCAACCGTTCCTCTGAAAGACATATTTCAGTCAGCTGATAGCAGTTTAACGGTCATGACATTCGAAGAAGCACTTGCGTATGGAGCTGAACGTCCTCAGAAATATCATTTACCTTCCAAGCATGATACATATATCATTTGGTGTGTCTCGGGAAATAAAAAACGAAGTGTTCACATGGCATGATTGCAGTTATACATCTGGTACGACTGGAACACCTAAGGGAGTCATGTTAAGCCATTACAACATGGTAGCGAACTTGGCTGGCTGGTCAGTGCTTCTAGAGAACTTTCATCCTCAGCTGTTGCGTAGTGATCAAGTGAGATGAAAACTTTGGGAACATTAAACCACATTAAATATTCAATTTAGATTCATATATCTTATCTTCCGTTATCTCATATGATGGAACAGATGACACATTGGAGTATGTTAGTAGTAGGAGCACGTATTGGTTACATAAGCAAAAGTATTATGGTTCGTAAGAGTGTGGGGGCTTTTTTTCAATTACTTAATTATTCAGGAACTGATGGATGATGTTGCTGCTTTGAAGCCCACTGTTTTCACTGTCGTTCCACGACTGATGAACAGAATATGCAGTGGAATCAGGGTAAAGTTCAAACTTAATTCTTTCATTTAAACAAAGATGAAATTCTATTTTGAACCCAGAGAGAAGTTGTTAAGCCTTCACACATGATTAGCGTTAAATGCACTACGAGGACTTTGTACCCTGAGAGTCGGAGGGAGAAAGAGAGAGAGAAAGAAGAAAAAGATGAACAAAGTGGAGAAACAAGAAAACCACAACAAAACGAGTTCTTAATGAAATCAGTAGAATGATTTCTGAGACTATAAAGATGTATGGCAACATTAGCCATTTATCATTAATAAAAAAAGGAAAACAGATAAAGCAACCTAACCACTTCAGACAAAAGTCGATGAGTCCGGATGGCTCAGCCGGTTGGTATATCGTCTTGCTTACTCCAGAAAGTTAGCTTTGTTACAACATGGTGTGATAACAAGGGAAAGTGTTTGGGATAGAGTAGTTTTTAATAAAATACAGGTAGAAATTTGTATTTTTATGTTTCGTCATAAAAATTTTTACAGCAAAAGTTGGGAGGTCAAATACATAGCATGGCTACGGGATCTGCCCCTGTATCTCCTGAAATTTTGGAGATGTGTAGAGTAGTTTTCGGAGCTGCTATAGTAGAAGGTACTCTCTCTTATACATCACACATCTTTAATGGACAATTAATCATGAAGGTTATGGCCAAACAGAGTGTACTGTTTTGGTTACATGCACGTGGCCAGGTGACTGGGAGGGTGGACACTGTGGAGCCCCAATAGCTAGTGCCACTGTTAAATTAGCCGATGTTCCTGAGTTGAATTATTTCGCCAAAGAAGGAACAGGAGAAGTTGGTTCTAAAAACAAAGCATCTCGACGACCACTTTGTTTCAGTTACTTGTCAAGGGACCAACTGTTACCAAAGGCTATTTCAAAGATCCTGAAAAAACAGCTGAATTAATAGACGAAGAGGGCTTCTTGCATACAGGAGATGTAGCCAGAATATTACCAAATGGTTGTATCAAAATCATAGATAGAAAAAAACATATTTTCAAACTAGCTCAGGTATAAACATGCAATGAATCAGTTCCATTTCTTTCATTCAGGGAGAGTACGTGGCTCCAGAAAAAATTGAGAACGTTTACATGCAATGTCCAGTTGTTCAACAAATTTTCGTAGACGGAAGCAGTTTAGAAAGGTATAATGAAGTTGATACTCTTTCATTTGGCGTTTCTTCAGATGGCTTATAGCTGTAGTTGTACCCGATGCTGAAACATTGAAGAATTGGAATGAAGAACACGGAGTGAAAGGAAGAGACATGGAAGAAATCTGTTCTGATCCTAAGGTTGTTTCATTAGGGGAAGTTTATTCATTTATGTATGAATCTAGGCTGAAGAGTTCGTGTTATCTCTTCTGATTGCTCGTGGTAAGGAGATGAAATTAAACTCATTGGAACAGGTAACATAGGCTTTGATGATGACGTGAAACGAACATATTTCAGGTCAAAAAAATATATTTAACTACCGAAGCATTCACAGTGGAAAACGATTTATTAACGCCAACTCTAAAAGCTAAAAGACCTCAGCTTCGGCAGAAGTATCAAGAAGTAATGGATAAGATTTATAAAGACAATTCCGCGTTGTAAATATATTCATACTATAATATTTTTTCCAATTCTAAATAAAAATTTCTAACACACAGAATACATTGATAGTTTGCAATTATCTCGAACCACATGAACAATTCATGTATCAGAATAACAACGACTTTTGTAGCTTGACGATCTTTTGATCTCAACCATTGGCGGCAAGAGTTGCAACTTTCCGATCTACTGTGATCTCGAAGGGTATATAAGGACGAGATTCCCTAGATATCTTCACTGATTCTCAGTGTAACGTTGCATTATAAAATAAATGTTTAGAATAATGAAGGTTGTGGCTCTTTTAACTATCCTTGCTGTTGCTGTGTATGCTCAAGACAGACGTCGCAGACCAGACCGTCATGACAATCACAACAACAACCATAACAACCACAATAACCGCAACAACAACCGTCGTATCGTATGTTTCACGTTTAGGTTTCATACTAAGTTATATGTTTAGGAAGGTCGTGGTCAACTATGGTGTGGTGATCGCCCAGCTTCTGGTGTAATGGTTCAATTGTGGTCTGAAAACAGCCAGTTCGGACGTAAGAGTATTGAACGTTGATGATTGACTTTCATTTTTGTAGAATTCGGTCGTGACACTTTCTTGGGGACTACTCGCACTAATCAAGCTGGAAACTTCAACATTCGTACTAACTCTCGCGATCCTAAGTTCCACCAACGCAGATACATTGTCATCCAACACACTTGCGGAAGTCGTCAGGTTTGTATATTCAATAGTTCAAATCATGTTTAATATCTTTGAATTACAGCTTCAAATGGCTCGTTTCCCAATGTTCCCAGATCAGATGATTCGTGTCCAACTTAGAACCGAATCCAACCCAAGACCCACGACACGACCACCCTTCCCAGTTGCCGCAATTGCTTCTGCCAGTAACAACGGAAACTGAAGAATTCTCAATTACTAATGCATGATAATTAACTTTTTTTCTGCTTTACATTTCAAGTTTTATCAAGATTCCACTGTAAATAAACATTTTCTTACTATATCTTATGGATATACCCACGGCTGCGGCAATCTGATAACACTCGGATGCGATGCGCGGAAAAGAAACTCCATACCGAAACTATTGCTACAATTATGTGTATATGCCAAGATTTCGCGAAATTTCTAAAAATAAGAATAAAATATTTACTCCGGTGGACGAATAAGGACAGTACTGCGTATGTTAATGCGTTGCTCCCCGAAACGAAATTTATTCGATAATGGTCGTAAGACTGTGTCTCAATTGTGGACTGTTACTGCATACAAATAGATCAGGATCACATAGTATTGAATCCCGGAATTTTCGAGGAATCAGCACTTGTTCTAATGCCAAATGATGCAACCCTAGTTTTCACTTTTCAGTTTTCCTTTTCTCAGTCTCCGACTCAATTGTCTGTTGTTCACCTCTTTGATCTAATCTCTAGCTTTGATCCAATACTCAACTTTTCAGAAGAGAGTATTTTGAGAGATAGCAGTTCAATTTAAAGAAAATCCCGATTCAATTTTAATTTTGAAAAATATATTTCTGAAGCAAATTAAGACAATGCCACGTGATCGTGGTGAGTATCTTCAGATGAAGATGTTTTCTTGGACGTTGTTGAGGATAATAACTGCTAGAGAGCAGATGAATATGTTTGAAAAAGTCAAAATTACTGCTTATGAGCTCATGTTCTTTCATCATTTGAGAATGATTGTTCAAGGCATAGTAGTTTCAATGCGAGTAGGAGAAAATATAACGAAGGAACTAATGAACTTGATAAAACTTGGCGCCAGTTTCGGGACAATAGCTTCGTATGATTGTTGGTTCTACTAAGTTGTTGAAGAAATGATGAAGCGTTTTCAAAAGAAAAGAAATGGAGCAATAGCAATTAGGCAATGTGTGTAGAGAAGGTGATGATGGGAAATACGCAAAATATTAGTTTCAACGAAGTTCAAAATGTAACCTAGGTACGCAATTTGTCGTGATTTATTTCATATTGTTCATTTGAATTGTGAATAAATAGTTAAATCCGATCCAAATGTTCATATCAGCTTTATTGAGTTGAAATAACATCGTGACCTTTTTGTAAATTGCGTGAACTATGTCTTTTTTCAATGTGTTGTGTGTTTAATGTCGAAGATAATCGTACCAAATATTTTAGGGTAGAGCATGGCTCCTCCAGGCCAGTCAAGCAGTCAGCAACTCCCTGCTAAAGAACTTGGTCTTTTCAAAAAAATTATAGTTAGGAAAAAAACGCTCGAGCCTGAATAATTCCTTGATGTTTTCCAGAAAAGTTATGAGAGCAAGCAATACCGTTTTGGGTTGAAGTATGCCAAGATCATTCTTTCCAATCCGCTATATGCTGACCATGGAGGTGAGTATACATGGGTTGTCTTCTAAAAGTAGTTTATTGCTTTGTCCAGAAACCCTTTCTATGAAAGGATTAATTTTGAGCTGTATGGGTAAGAGAGAAGAAGCTCTTGAATGTGTCAAGAAAGGTTTAACAGTAAGTTATTGATTGAATGAAGTTATTACATTGTAATTTACCTAGTCTGACTTGAAATCTTATGTTTGTTGGCATGTTTACGGATTGGTTCAACGAGCAGACAAAAAGTATGACGAAGCTATTAAGGTTTTCACAAATGCAGTTGATTCGTATATACTTCGACATGTTCAGGCTTATAAAAACGCTTTCCGTATGGAGAAGGATAATGTTCAAATCTTAAGAGATTTATCTTTATTACAAATCCAATTACGCGATTATGAAGGATATAAGGTTAGGAATCCCTATTCACGTCTTAATTTAGTTTTGTATTACAGGAGAGTCGCTATCATTTATTGAGACTCAGACCAAACCAAAAACTCAACTGGATTGGATATGCAACCGCTTATCATTTGCTCAAAGATTATGAAAAAGCTCTTGACATTATCACCGAGTACAGTCTATCCAATCAGGTATGAAAACTTCGCTCTCCTGTTCACCGTTTTGTTTTGAGCCAACTGGATATGATTATGAATACTCCGAACTGCTGATGTACCAAGGAATGATTTTGCGAGAGTCTGGAAACCCACAAGGTGCTCTAGAAAAATTGGAAGAGAACGCTGCTCAAATAGTAGACAGAGTTGTTTACATGGAAACAAGAGGTTAGTTTGGACTTTTCTGAATTCTGATCGTAAATATTTAAAGGTGACTTGCTGAAAGAGCTTGGAAAGCTTGAGGATGCTGAAAGAGTTTGGCGGCAACTGATTGAGCGTAATCCTGAAAATCTATCTTACTATGTAAAATTGGAAGAATGTCTTGGTCTTGGTCCCGGTTAGTAACGAATTATTTTATTTGGAACTATTCAATTGTTCAGGAGCTGACGCTACTAAGCGTTTGGAACTGTATGACGCTATGTCCGAGAAGTATAAGAGAGCTTCTGTTCCTCGTCGACAGCCTTTGTATATCGCTGAAGGTAACTAACTTGATTCTAAAAGTCTAATATTATGTTTAGGTGATGAACTTAAGAAGCGTTTGAGAGGCTGGATTGCAGTAGGATTGAGAAAGGGTATTCCTAGTCTCTTCAAAAATTTAGTTCCTTTATACTCGGACAACAAGAAGGTATTTTTACTTCTAAAAGTATGTAGCAATATTTTGGTTGCAGGTTGCTTCTATTGAAGCAATTCTACTTGAGTTCATTAGGAAAATAGAGGACAATGGTTATAAACACGGATCATTTGACGGTATACCATATTATTCTTCTGAAATAACTTTTTCTTTTAGATTCTGCTGATACTATTGAATCTCCTACTTCCGCTTTGTGGTTGTACTTACTAGTTGCTCAACATTACGATCGTCTCAAGCAAACTACTTTGGCTCTTCGTTACGTAGAGAAGGCTAACACTCACACCCCTACTTTAATTGAGACCCTCTTAATAAAGGCCAAAATTTTCAAGGTAAATTTACGAGTGAGATATTGCATAACATCATGTTTAGCATGCTGGTGATCTTAATGAAGCTGCTAGAATTCTCGAGGAGGCCCAGTCATTGGATACTGCTGATAGGTAAGCTTACATAGTTAAACCATTTTTATATTCATTCTCTCAGATATATCAACAGTAAGTGTGCCAAGTACCTCCTGAGGGCTGGATTTGTAGACGAAGCCGAAACTATGTGTTCAAAGTTCACCAGGGTAAGTTTTATGCATTTGACATGTTTGACAATAATGCTTAAGGAGCGAGAAAGAGCTTCAACTACTTTGAATGACATGCAGTGTATGTGGTGGGAGATCGAAAGCGCTAGAGCCTATCGTAAACTTAGTAAATATGGACAAGCTTTGAGAAAAGCTCACCAAGTTGAACAGGTTTGATTTCAAAGGTCTGGTCCTTTCCTTTCAATCATATTTTTTTCAGCATTTTGTTAACATGGTCGAGGATCAGTTCGATTTCCATACTTACTGTTTAAGAAAAATGACTTTATGTGCCTACGTTCAACTTTTAAAAATGGAAGATGTGTTACGTAATCACGAGTATTACTATCAAGCTGCTAAATTAGCAATAAAGGTTTGTGTTTCATAGGTTTTTGTTGGTTATTATAGCGTTTTAGATCTATCTCCGAATGATTGACAGACCTCAAGACATGAATGGTGATCAAATTGAGGAAGGAATGAGCGCTGCTGAAAAGAAACGCTTGAAAAAGAAACTGAAAAAGGAGAGAGAACGAGAGGAAGAGGCTAAGAAGAATGATAAGAAGGTAATTTTTGTTCCCTTCTTTCATAACATCAACCGACTCGAACTATAGAAAGATGAAGTTCAGTTTGACCCTGCTGTTCTACTAAATCCCGCAGATCCACTAGAGGAAGCTGCAAAGTTTGCTCAATCTCTACATATGTTAGGATGCAACCACGTTTCTGGTTATGCTCTATGTTTCGAAGTTTACTTCAAAAAGGTTTGACCGCCATTCAAGTTATTGTTTTAATGGAAGCTTATAGGGTAAAAGTCTTCTGATGCTCAAATGTATAAGAGAAGCTGCCAAGCTTGATAAGGATCACCCACTTCTCCATATTTGTAGAGTTAAATATGCTCTTTATAGTAAGTATCAGAGAATGAGATTAGTCACCACTCTGATATTCAATAGCTCCTCTGCTGATGACAAGTGTGAATGATTATCTCGTTGTTGTGAACGATTTTGATTGATTTCATGATTTTCAGGGAAAAACGTAACTTTGACCGGCACTGTTTTAGAAATAGCTAAGGAATTGGAAGATTCCATGTTTGATACATTAGATGCTGTCAAACTGAACGAGAGTTTCAAGAACGATCATCTGAATAGTTTACCGCACAGAGTTGCAGGTAAGGATTCACTTTTTATACTTAAATCATAGAACACAAATTCAAGTTGCCGAGTGTAATCTTTTACTGGATGCTTCTTCTCTTTCCACAACGAAAAATTGGCTGACAAAGTCTTTGGAAGATGACAAACTTCAAGGGCGTTATTTGAAGACATTCTTGAAACTTATCGATGGAATTAAGTATGGTCGTTATGGTTCTTGGTCAGCTGACGAGGTATTCGTTTTTCTATAACTGTGATTAACTGTTCCCTTTTTCAGACTGATGCTGTTATGAAAATCGCTCACCAACTTTTCCCCCAAGCTCTCTCTTTCGGAGGCGGAACCCCAGCAAGTGAGAAGAAAGAAGTGCCTGAAGAGAATCATCATTCTTTTGAATGACTGCAGATTGAACTCGAACTTTCATAGGTTTCTTTTTAATTGTTGTTTTTAATTTCCGATGCTGTTAAATTTCTATTATGTTACCGAGTGTCACTTGTAGACCCATTTGATGACCCCTGACGATGATAACTTGTACTTCATGTTGTTGTTGATGTTGTTCAACAGCAGCATGGAACTTTGTCTGTACAAGCAAGCAGTAATTATATGATTCTGTTGTTAGCAGTATAGAACGTTTGTTTTTAGTTTCTACTGATTCTATAATTCATGAAATTACATATGATTACCATGAGAACGTAATTTTCATCTCATCCTTGACAACACCTGATGTCTATATATGGTAAACTCACACTCATTTTAGATCTTTTCTTTAATTAATAAGTTAATAAGCGCTCATTTTCTTGCAATCATGCTCCATTGCTCTCCCGAACCTATTTAAGCTTTTTGTTTTTGCCCTCCACGTTTGTTTTTGTTGTTTGATTTGTCAGAAACACGATAAGCCAGTCGTTTTATCTCATTAAACGCGTCTTCAGGTCGCAATATTACTTTTATCCTCGTGTTCTTGAATAGTTGGAATTTTTTATTTTTTGAGGTTGCTGAAGATGACGGTTGGGCCGGATATCGACAGTCCCGGTAGGAACCATCTCTCAATATTTTTTTTGAAATATCTATTCAGAAGACGTCATATCTCATAATGAAGATGAGGGGTTTTATGCCGCGTACGAAGCGAAAGAGGTTTGTATATACGTGCGTTCTGGAATATTCTCTTTTCTGGCAGGTTCTGGGTCGAGGACTAGCCTCCACTGTACGGCGATGCATAGAGAAAGGGTCAGGTCAGGCTTATGCAGTTAAAATTGTAGATGTTTCGACGGACAAGCAGTCTGAGGTACGTTTCTCTAGTTGATTTCATATTCACTCAAATCTTTTCAGAAAGAAGCAGTACGACTACTTGAAGAAACTATATCGGAAGTCAAAATTTTGCGACAACTTGCTGAACAGCCCTCTATTAGTAAGTGGGTGCATAGAAGGAAGTTCATAAGCATTGCTTTTCAGTTACTATCCACGATTTTTATCAAACACCTTCGTTTCTTTTCGCAGTTTTTGAAATGGCTCCCAAAGGAGAATTATTTGATCAATTGAATAAAACGGTTACCGTCTCTGAAAAGAAAGTAAGTTCTCCCGCTGAAAGCAACCATTCTTCTGTGCCTCGGGCTAGAAAATGATTATACTGCTCATTCATGGCGGGAAATTCATTTTGAATTTATGTCTTAATAAAGCATATTATAGGCTCGTAGGTTAATGCATCAACTTTTCGATGGTGTAGCATATATGCACGAACAAGGAATAGTTCATCGAGATTTAAAATTAGAAAATATACTTTGTATTGATGATGAGAGAATTGTCATTTCTGACTTCGGATTTGCAACTTATCTCGAGAAAGGTCAAAAACTAAGAGGTTAGGAAGCATTAATTGGCCACATGTATTGTTTACACTTCTCAGACTTATTTGGAACACCTGGCTATCTCGCTCCCGAAACACTAAGATGTCAAATGTATGAAGACGCTGAAGGATATGATCATCTTGTTGACGAGTGGGCTTTAGGAGTAATTTTATACACACTTCTAGCTGGTTACGCTCCATTTTATCATCGCAGGTTTGATTAATCATGTCTAAATTTATAATTCTGATGTTTCAGACAATTACTTATGATGAGAATGATTCAAGAGGGTCGGTATGAGTTTCGCCAAGAGCAATGGGGAAATATTACCCAGGACGCTAAAGATATTGTAAGTAAAGCTCCTATATAGCGTGTTGAAATCATAATTCGATTAGATCAAAGGACTATTATGCGTTTCTACGGAAAAGAGATTAACTGCTCGCGAATGTTTATCACATCCTTGGATGAGTTCATGTGCTTCCTCTAAAGCACAATCGCCTGTGAAAAAGCACGTCCGAGACTTCCGGCGTCTTTTCAAAGTTGTAAGCAAACTCTGATGAATACTTTATCTCATCATAATTTTTATAGACGATTCTTCGCGTTAGGTTTTTAATTCGTCTCCAGAAATATAAATATATCAAGTCAGTTGTGGATCGTGAAGCTCTCAGGAAAAGACCTTTCCGGGATAGAGATGTGAGTCGATATCATCTTGCAATTTCAATCATTATCTTTTGAAGATTCGTCGGGAAGCAGAATCTGCAGCATTCTCCGTTTACGGACACTGGGTTAATAGAGGATTCTACTATTCTCGTGATATGTTGTTTGCCAATCAACCTAGACCTAAATATGCTAAGGAGAGTGGGTGATTCCTTAGAAGGAGTGTCATATAGTGTAAATACTTAATTGTACAGTATTAGGAGCTTAAAATTTAAGGCATTTTATAGCATTATCCTTTATCAGATCCGAGTAGATCTCTTCAGGTTTACAGTTATTGAGTCCCTATGTCCTTAATGCAATGTGATTTACTATGTGCATCGTAATGTAATAATGTACATACTTGCTTGCTTTTCTGAAATACATTTTTTTGAAACCGTTGTCTTTTTCTTATTGGTCGGAACCATATTAGATTACATTTCTCATCGTTTCACAAGCGTTCATCATATTTTCGCCAAGGTAGTCCACAGCTTCCCCAAAAACAGTATCAATGAGGTTTGCCAACTCTCTCAGAAGTGTGTGCTACGAGATTGTTTAGGATCGACATTGATGGCTTGGAAGTTCTGTTTCCATATGAGTTCATTTACCCTGAGCAGCTTATGTACATGCAAGAGATTAAAAAGTCTCTTGATGCTCAGGTATTTCTGTGTGATTGATGATATATAACGTTTTGTCCGAATCAGGGTCATGGCTTATTAGAAATGCCTTCAGGTACAGGTAAAACTGTATCCTTGCTATCTTTAGTATTTGCCTATATGACGAAGTATCCGGATAAACTTGGTATAGCTTTTGTCATATTGCTATGGTCCTTATACTTTGTTTAGATAAACTGGTATATTGTTCTCGTACTATTCCTGAAATCGAAAAATGTGTTGAAGAGCTTAGAAACTTATTCGTTTACTATGAATCTCAAAATAAAGTTTGTTCTTTCAATGGTATCAGGAGTAAAATTGTGTTTAAGGTTAAACCACAGGTAACGGCAGTAGCTATGTCTGCCAGAAAAAATCTTTGTGTCAATGATAATGTTATGAAGAACAGACAAGGTAAACCGTCTCTTTCTTCGGATAGTTATTGTTGTTGCAGGTGCTTCCGTTGATGGTGCTTGTCAAGCTTTAACCGCTTCTTTCATCAGAAGCAAGCGAGCACATGATAATAGTCTTCCGTCTTGTGATTTCTACGAAAATCTCGAGTCTCGAAACAACTTTGTTATACCTCCTGGAGTTTGGAATATTGTAAGCTTTCCTCTTTGATGTATACAATATCTTGATTCCCAGGCCGATCTGCGTAGATTCGGAAAAGAAAATACTCTCTGCCCATACTTTCTTGCTAGATGTGCCCTCAATCGAGCACAAATTGTTGTTTATTCCTACCATTACATTCTTGATCCTAAGATTGCCGAACTAGTATCTAGAGATTTCAGTAGAAAGTTAGTTTTGATCACAAATTTGCATATCAAACGTTCACTTCTAGGACTTGTGTAGTATTTGACGAAGCTCACAACATCGATAACGTCTGTATTGAAAGTATGTCTATCGGACTAAACTCAAAGCATATTGAGAGAGCGAATACAGAGCTTTTGAAGTCAAGACTCGCAGAAGTACACATGTAACTGTTTTTTCTTAGGCTCGAACAAGCTGTATTACGTACTCGACAAGAGAACGCACAGAAGTTACAGGATGAGTATGAGCGTTTAGTTGAAGGATTGAAGAGGTACCTCGAATTAAAAGATGACAAGCATAAGTACACTCGTTCAGGACTGAAAAGGAGCGTGTGAATGACGAGAGGTTGATGAATCCTGTCCTTCCTGATGCGATTCTGAATGAGGCGATTCCCGGCTCGATTAGAACTGCACAACATTTCGTTGTATTCATGAAGAGAGTTGTGGAGTATGTTAGGCATCGCATGAAAACGAGTCAAGTGCTCATAGAAAGCCCTGCAGCTTTTTTGAAAGATATACAGGATAGAATGTACATAGATAGGAAGCCGTTAAGGTACGTGTGAACACGTTTATTCGCGTGTGATAATTTGATTGTTCGTTACAGGTTTTGTGCCGAGCGGTTGTCCAATTTATCCAGAACCCTCGAATTTGCTGATGCCTCTGAGTTGTGGGCACTCACTCAAGTTTCTATCCTTGCCACCTTAGTGAGCACATACTCAAAGGTTGACAGTTGTTCTTGGACATGATCTAAAACAGAAAAATTGAAGGGATTTTCCGTTATTGTTGAACCGGGAGAAGGATCTCAACCTGCTGTTTTAACCTTATCCTGTATGGATGCTTCTATTGCCATCAGACCTGTTATGGATCGCTTCCAAACGGTAGTTCTCTGCGATACCTCTATTGCTCACACACAATTTCAGGTTGTTATTACATCAGGAACATTATCCCCTTTAGAAATGTATCCTAAAATTCTTGATTTTGATCCTGCTGTTATGGCATCGTTCACTATGACCCTAGCTAGACCTTGCTTGAGTCCCCTTGTAGTTGCTCGTGGAAATGACCAAGTAATTGTTAAAGTTCTGTCTAGATGAATATACTAAATCCACACAGGTAGCAATGACGTCACGTTTCGAACAGAGAAGTGATGTTGCCGTCATCAGAAACTATGGTAATCTTGTGCTCGAAATGGCTGCAATTGTTCCCGATGGGATGGTAGTTTTCTTCACCAGTTACTCCTATATGGAATCCGTCATTGGCACGTGGTACGACCAGGTCAGTTTCATGTCATAAACAATATTTTTCCGTTTTCTTACAGCATATCATTGATGAACTTATGAAGTATAAGCTCTTGTTCATCGAGACCAACGATGCGCGTGAAACATCTGTAGCTTTGGAAAAATATGTTGAAGCTTGTGACAGTGGGCGTGGTGCATGCTTGTTCTCTGTCGCCAGAGGAAAAGTATCAGAAGGAATTGATTTCAGTCATCACCTAGGTAGTTCAATTGTTATCTCATGTAACAAAAAGTTTTTTTATTAAAGGAAGATGTGTTATTATGCTGGGAATCCCTTATGTGTATACTGAAAGTCGAGTTTTACGTGCTCGTCTTGAGTACTTACGCGATCAGTTTGGAATCAAGTCAGTTTTCGTTTTTCAATACGTATAATCAGTTGCTATTTGCAGAGAGAACGACTTCCTTACTTTCGATGCCATGAGACACACTGCTCAGTGTATGGGTCGAGCTTTGAGAGGAAAAACCGATTATGGTTTAATGATTTTCGCTGACAAGAGATATTCAAGACAAGACAAAAGAGGTAAACTGCCAAGATGGATGCAAGATCATCTGGAAACGTCATGCACAAATATGAGTATTGATGAAGCTTGTCAAGTAGCCAAGAAGTAAGTGAACAGTTTATCATCCGTGGAATTAAAGTTTCTTGAAGATGGCTCACACTGATGGCTCAACCTTTCACTAAAACGGATCAGTTGGGTGTTTCTATGCTAACGACTGATATGCTGAATCCAACCTTCATGAAAAAGTTTGATGCAGTAGTGGAACATATGGATTAGTTGACAACCATATATGTGTACTTTGCAAGTAATGTTCTTTCTGTGATCTCATTTCCGCACTTTCTTCATGTCAACATATGTATAATTAGATATTAACTAATTGTTGATTTTTTTTGTTGTTCGTGTAATAATTTTTTGAAACTTGCTCTTGTCTTAACTACTATGGGCTCGCCCGATGCTATTTGGTTTCCAAATCTATTAGTTTCATTTTTGTTTTAGATGCTCCCAGCAAGGCAACTCGCCAATCTGTCGAGAAGGTGCTTATCGGTAACACCTTCCTTTAGCATCCAGTTAACACCACATCTCGACAAAGGTCACTCAAAATGGCAAAATATCAAACATATCAAAGGTAAAAACGATTTGATAAAATCAAAGGCAACTAATTTACTTCTGAGAAAGGTTTGCATGAAATTGTTTTACTGTTATGAAGTATAATTGCAGGCGAAAGCAGCTATATCGAAAGGTGGATTCGATTTGAAAGTCAATAGAGAGCTAGCATCAGTCGAGACTGAGTTCAAAGCACAGGGTTTATCCGCTGATACATTCAGAAATTTCTTACAGAAAATGAAGGTTTGTTGGAACAAACTATGAATCTCTAAACCACTGTTCAGGATCGACCGGAAGTAGAATACACCTTCGATGTCATCGGACCTTCAGGAACTTTCTTCATCGTTGTTGCCGAAACCGACAACAAGAAAGCTTTCGAGAACATCTTGAGGAAATATTTCAATAAGGTTTGACTGCAGTCTGTCAATCACAGTTTGCTTTTTAGGTTGGTGGCTTCAGGTTGGCCGCTGATTCTTCAGGTGTAAGAAGCTGGTTCGATGAAAAAGGTGTTCTTACCGTCTCACCTGAGAGAGATGGGAAGCAGTTAAAACTTGATGAAGTAAATGAGTTTCAAGTTGCTATTAACCTTTGCATAGATTGAAGAAATCGGTATTGAGTTGGATGTGGAAGAAGTTTCTATAGTTGAAGATGACGGGAAAAAATTCGAATTATTGTGTGAACCAGGAAAACTAATGTCAATTGAAGCAGAGCTGAGTAAGCAAAAGTCAGTTCATAGGTTCTTCTGTTCTCTCTACAATCAAGCTTAAGATTCACCGTTGAATCAGCCGAAGTTGAATACAGAGCTAAACACCCTATACCAGTCCAAGGCGATGACGCCACAAAAGTTGAAAAGTTCTATGAATTGATTCAGGTTGATGAAACTGAAGAAGCTCTGTTATAATATAACATTTTACAGGAAGATGACAATACAAAGCAGGTTTTCGACAACATAGAACCTGAAAATTAGATTTTCAAGAATAGGAGTAGTCATTATCTAGATTGTTGATTTTATAATATTGTTGTTAAATGACGTTTGAATAAGTCTTCTTTTGAGCTTTCCGTTTCATTCATTGTTGGTAGCCAATCTGATAGAATATACATTTATATAGTTTTATATATATTTACAATGTAACTGTTGGATTCAAGGTGTTTTGTAGATTGCAAAGCTCCCAAGATTAGAAATGAATGACTCGCAAAACGGATCAACAAAAGTAGAAATATCGTCTTCAGAGGCAGGGCTGTCTTTCCATACTTATACCATATTACTCAACAGATCCAATACGACTACGAGAAACACTCCACTGCTGCAAAATACCTGATCAAGTCTCTTTACCATGTGTTTGTATGCATTCTCCGTGAACGGAATGCCTTACCTAAAAGTCATTTTGTTTCTAAACTGCAAGAAGGTTCATTCTATTTTTTGCAAATAGGCATCGAGAGTTTTACAGGTCTCGGAGGTTATACAGGATTGAATTATAAGTATGAAATCAATCGAATTATAATGAAAACCTTTGAATCTTTGAAAAATCCAATCAAGAACAATTATCTAAAAAGTTTCAGTTTGACAGTAGGTCAAAAACGAATATGGTTTGTTAAATCCTTTTACTCAGATAGGTGGAGAAGATGATCCAAACATCGTATTTGAAGAATTCAAATTTACAATTGACTATGGTGTTATGTATTAAGGAACATAATTCAAAACAGTAGCTATGGTTTTCAGTGAAAATCTTAAAACCCTCGATGCACACAAAGTCAAAAGCGATCTTCGAAAGTTGTTGTGGTCAGTTCGGATTATGTGTTAGTTGGGTCAAGGTATCCTAGATGAATCTTATGCTCTCATTTTCAGTCAATTGAAGAAGCTTCCTGAAGACTTGACGCTCAGTTTTCAAGCTGAATACACACCGGGTTGAGTATTAACAAAGTGACCCAATGGAACGTTTGTTACAGATTCACCGGATAAGTATCAGATACCTAGGTTTACTCCGTGCCACCCTGTTTCTTCCGGGAAGATTCTCGATTCTATAGGAGTGAATCTCAATGAAGATTATCACAAATAAGTTTTAGGTTCATATATTCAAACAAGTTCCATTTTCACAGGTAAATTATCAGTTTGGTCGCAGTACGAGAAAAATAAGCGAATAAACGTAACCATATAAGAGAAGAGTTATCAGAAGTTTTTATGATCTAATCAAGTGAACTCATTCTACATTTTTCATATTGTCACATTATTTTTGTATATTACATGGTAAAATCTGTGATCAGTTCATTTCTTGTGATATGCTCGATTTGCCCAATGAACAACCGATGAAGACTTAACTTCACGTAAAAATGCGATTTCTCATTTTAAAACTCAAATCATTCGAAAGCGGCTGCTCCTTCCTGGCTATGTCATCTGATAAAGGATCTGTATCGACAAAATCTGTAAATAGTGCAACAGTAAGTACTTAGGAACTAATTAGCTGTAAAGATCTTTCATTTCACAGTGGAACGATACGTTTCCTGCCAAATTCGATGAAAAGAATGAATCGGATATATTTTTTCTACGCTGCATATACTTGGTTTTCGTTTATATAATTTGCAAAAGAAAAGTTCTACCTAGCCATTTGTTTAAAAAACGAACAATTGATGGTAAGATAAGGCATCAGCTGTAATTCAACTTGATCATCTAGGCATAATCAAAACTTATGTAATGAATAGTGACGACAAATTTGGTATACGAATTGCAAATAAGTTCAGAGCATTGGGTGAAGCTATCAAATTAAAGTTTCTTGACAGTTTTATATTAGTGGTTTGTCTTACTATCTTAGTTTCACCTCACATATATAATCATTTACGATTGGGGAAGATGAGAGTGATGTGGATGCTGCCGTTGAAGTATTCACTTGGAAGATGTTTTACAGCGATGACCAAACGTCCGCTTCATTTCTAAAGTTGGTTCTCTTCATCTAAAATGTTTCATATAGCTGCTTTCTAGCAATAAGGGAGAGATAGTTGCTTCAGTAGAATACACAGGATTGAACGAAATTAAAAGAAGTACACGACGCCTTCTATATGCAATTAAACAGCTCTGCACGTTAGTATTATATTTATTTATACTTCTTATCTCTTCTCAGAAAAGTATTGGCTCCTCTTCCACCTAATATGACTGCTGGTTTCCGTATTACGTATACTAATGGTAATCAAAATATTGAAATTGATATTGTTTTTTCAATTTTAGCTGCTCCTTCTCATTATCAAGCAGAAGGTTTCTATCCATCTGTAGAATTGTATCACATGGATCCTAGAGCTTCAACTCTCGAATTATCTAACAACTTTCTATCAACAATGCATCACAGATATGCTCATTTCATATATATCTTTAATTACTAACTCAATTTACATGTTCTGTCCAAGTTCAATCCATATATCTTCCGACTATTGAAGGAAAGATCGATAATGAGGCTATTCTTGACAAGGTTCTTACAGTCTATGCAATTGCAGTAGCTATTCGCTTCAGTTAATGGAGAAGAATGATGATCGAGTTGGGAATGATGCACCTGCAGAAGCAAACAGTGCTGATGTTTCACGCCGTAGCTCTGATGAGTTCGAAATCGTAATTTTTTAAATTTTTTTCTGCCCGGATAAGTAAGATTTTTCTTCAGCAGCCTATGGAGGAAGTCGTAGAAATGAACTGCCGTATGTCAAGAGAGTCTTCCTCTGTAGTCTCATCTAGTTGTCCAGAGAACTGTGAGTCTATTTTATGGCTGCCGTAATGATTTTTCTTATAGCTGCAATGGCATATAATGGAGGAACCTGTAATTCTGTAAATACTACGTTGTATGAAAGAGACCGTGTAGACGAATCTATGGGAGATTGTACTCCCAATAGGCTCAATGAGGTATTTTGTTATCCAATTCCTTCATTTCTGAATATAATCACTGCAGAGTACTATCTTGAGTCGCATGGGTCGTGTACATAGTCTACTCACTATTACGCCAGAGAATAGTCCCTGAGGCTATATTACTAGTTTTTTCTTTCGTTAGTTTGAATTGAAATTATGAAAATGAACTGTTTATTTAACTTGAACAAACAGGAAATCTCGGGTCAGGTTGAGCGTTTTTTAGGTCTGTTAAGCCATCAAGGCAGCTAGGAGATTGGTGAGAGCGATTCACCCATGGAATACTTTCATCTAGATTCACCTCACAGATTCTCTTCACTTAAAATGTTCGGTTTTTAAACAAAAACGTGAACCTCTCCAAATGTAATGTACTAGAGTTGCGGTAGAGAGGGCGGTATGCAGATGAGACCAGCCGCCTTACACTTTCTTTGTTTACTGCCTTCGATGTCACCTAAGTTGGCCTCTCTCAAAGTAATCTAACTTATTCGCCTACCATTAGACATTTTATTTTATATTTCACATATATTTCAGCTTTTATCCTGTTTGTTATATAATAATATTTTCTGATATTTGATAACCAAGCATTTCCTTTCAGAATGTTTTCAACGTTACATCATTTATCTCAAACAACAACACAGTTAGCGGAAGGCTACACAGATGATTTACTTAATAGCAAATATGATAATGCCAGGTATTCATTTTTTGTTTTACTCATCTGAATCTATTTTCTCTCCTGATTGTGCTTTTCCAAGTTGATTGATAGTTTTCTTTCTCATGAGTTTCTTTGGTTCATGTTGATGAGTGTCAACCAATGAAATAGCGGTGGGCTTTACATTATGTGAAAGACAAGCCAATTTTATCTTAACTACATATTGATATAGTTAAGATCAACTTCTTTACCTATTCTCAGAAAATTTTAAAAGGCTCTGAATTTCGCATTTGGTTGCATTTGGTTCCTGTTCAATAGAATTACACAGCGATCCATCAAACTACGACACTTCGGTTAGGAGGTGATGGAAAATGAATTTCTGTTTTTCTTACTCCTCATCAGATTGTATTAATCATCTTATACCGATACCGCTTACATAACTTTCTAACAACCTACGAAGCCTTTTGTTTCAATCGTTAAGATTGTTATGACTGGTCACTTACTAACCTTTCATTATTATTTTTTTTGAGTGGCTATCACCAAGTTCAAGGGGGTCGAAGTTAAAGCAGAGAGAAAAACATTTATTATCTGGTATGATCAGACTAGCAATTCTTCAAAATCGATTGCTGAGTTGTAAGCTGATCTTGCAAAGCTCAATTCGATGATAAATGAAGTATAACATGTATTAAAGTCTGTTGACTTTCTGCTACCCGTCACATATTCAATGATAATCAAGTTTGCTTTTGCTTATGAACTATGACATTCGATTGTTTGGTTGTTCAACATTTTTCGCTCAAGCTCAAAGCGCTTATCACAACTTCAAATTTTTTTCAACATGACCTTGTAATAGAAGCTTGTCCGATATCACTTATCACTAACGAAAATTTGAGAAGCAGACATTCAAGCTTGTGATTTGCATAGCTTATCTTGTTAAAGCTTGAGAAACAGTTGCTCAATTCAAAATCTTCAACAAAGCTTCTGTGCGAATGAGAGAGTAGAATGAATGCTTGTCTGTTTCACTTTGTTCGACTACATCTGATCGCCTTTTTATGATTTTCTTTCAATTTTCACACTTTAGCTCTAATTTTTTTTATCAATTAACACTTTCATGACAATGCAAGTGTGTTTTTCACAAAATAGTTCTTAATGAGCATTAAGATGAATTAGATTCTTCATCAACTCACCCCAACCCCACCCCCAACTGTTTTTATGGGGCTAATACACCTGAAATGTTTCCGGAGAGATTACGATGTGTATTGAATCATCTGGTTTTTAACAAACATGCTCAGCTTCAATTTAATTTTCATTTCAACTTCTTTTTTTTTTTTTTTTCAGTTCACTTAATTTTTGAAGACAAAATATATATTATTGCATATCGATTGTCATTCTGACAATTTTTGAAAGGAAGTTTTTGATGTTGATGATTGACGCTGTAACATGCTCTGAAAAGCAGATAGTTTTTAGGAACTTTTTAAATTATGATGTAAAACTTCGTGACATTTCAAAGCAGCTTCTTCTGACAATATCTGATGAGGGTGAAGACAGCTGAGAGGAAGGAAATGCTTTTTATGTCAAACATCTTCCAATTAATGGCCATCACCAGATGATGAGGCGTGAATATTCTATATTTTCACGCCATGTCCTGAAATCTTATATTGTTGAGCTTTTACTGATGCTTCTAAAAACTTGATCACAGTATCGCGTTTCCTCGACGAAATGTATTTCGCACATAGCCACAAGTATCATGTCTTTCTGCTGCTGGTTCAATAGCTATCAATAACTTTCAATTTAACTCGATTTTTTTTTCATTCTTCACTTCTCGTGTAATTTAAAAAATTACATGTTCAACACACGCATGAACTAATGATAAATAAATAATTACAGAGTCTCTAGACCCACATCACAGCTTTCTGGAACTTCGCTGGGGTCAAAGTATCGCTTTTCTTCTTTTTCTGTGTTAGATGTAAGCTTTATTATATATATTTTATTCTTTTTCTATATATTAACAAGTTGTAAGCTGTTTGAATAGTTTGATATCCATATTCTGAGAACCTCCAATCACTTTAACTATTATTTTTCTTGGAGCAGCTGTCCATTCAGTAGAGTAAGACACCTTGCGAAGGACATTGTTTTGAATTTGACTCTAATTTATATACATATATTATATATATATATATATATATATAATCTATATAACTCAATATAAGTCTGCAGCTTGTCTAGAACATGAAAACTGTGGTCACAATATATTTATTTTAAATTAATTACAGATGCTTTCACATACATCAAGGTTAGGTAGTATCACTGGTGAACGACGAGCAACACAAGCTTTCATAGGTCCACCTCCTGTTACATTATTCGGAAAAGTTTGTCAATTGAAAAATACATGAGAAAACAAGTTAAAATATATTATTGTATTATAGGCTCGATATTACTATGATAAATGGGGAATGAGAAATTATGCTCCAACAATTATATTATTACTGTATACTATTATGGGTGCTTGGACATTCTATGTAGCTGAACATGATTATGAGAATAAGCTACGAAAGTATGTTTCATCTTACATCTTCATAATCAAGTTATCTCATCTTAACACAATTTTAAACGACTTCTGATCTCTTCTCTTTATCAGTGTGTTTATCTTGGCTACTTAAACTCTCTCCCACATCAATGATTAACGATTTCAAATTCATTTGTTTGAAATATTCATTTTGAACTTTGAAAGTCCTAAGACTGATTATAATAAACGATAACTTTATAGAAAAGAAGAAAGTGATTTAAACTTCTTACGCAATGCAACTATCAATTCGTTGGCCAAAATAATAAATGGAGGAGAATCTAGGAAAGGGGCAGTGAAGTCTAGGTACAGTGACTGGTCGATAGAGACATAAACAATTACTTGTCTTAAGGGATATTTTGATTCGATATGAAAATGAGTGCAATAGGATAAAGCTGCCTGATGGATTAGAGTGGGATATGTGGGGAGCATTGTTTTATGCTGGAACTATTTATACAACAATTGGTAGCAAGAGGCTTAACTAGATATCGTGTGAAGAAAGATATTTCAGGTTATGGTAATATAGCTCCACGTACTGTTGTTGGAAGATCTCTCACTGTAGTATATGCTATCATTGGTTTGATTTTCTTTGATTGACCACCTTTCTGAGAATCTTGTTCTTTTTAGGTATTCCATTAGTTTTAACAATTCTATCACAGTATGGTCATTTTTTGACTGATAAAGTGACGTTATGGTGGCAGAACCACATAAGCGAGAAGAAAGCTAAGAAGTATAGAGAGAAGCTGTAAGTTGTTTCTCAGTTTATTTTGAAATGTGCTTGTTTTCAGAGAACATGAATGTGACAAGAAGAAATCTATGGATACGATGTATGTTTCATGAGATGATCAAATGACATTCTTCAATTTTAGGGATATCGATCTAGAATCTGGTCAACATTCATTGCGTAAAGAGGATGAGGAGGAAGAAGAAGAATCCAGGTAACTAGTGATGGTCATTGAACACAAGGATATCTCTTTGTTTTTGCAGAACTATACCTGTTTGGTTAGCGTTGTTCATTTGTATTGCATGGATATGCAGTTGCTCTGCACTCTTTCTGTTCTGGGAAGAGAAATGGACTTTTTTTACTTCTTTGTACTTCTTTGTTATTTCGTTATCAACTATAGGATTGGGTCAGTCATGTCAACATTGTTGTGTTGAACTTCTCTATTATAGGTGATGTCGTACCAGACTGCCCTCGAATGTTAATTTTGATGTTTTGGTTAGTAATTGTTGGTTTATCTATCGTATCTATGCTCTTGTCTGTTATACAAATTAAGCTTGAAGAATGGCTCTGCAAGTTGAAGATAAGAATGCAGGTTGGCGGACATGAAACTACGACATTTTAACTTTTTTTTCTCTCTTTCAGAAAAAGTACAAAGAGGCGATTCAACGAGGTCTGGCCATGGGTGAGGGACAACTATTGAAAGATATAATGGATAACGAAGGAATTTTCGCGCAATGCGTACTTTCTAACTTGATAACTGAGAAGCAGGCGGCAGACGTTGAACACACGGTTCATAAGTCTTTCAAATCAAACCTGATCAAACGTTTTTTCAGGCTGAGCAATTCGAAAGACTTGTTAGAGAGCAAAACAATAAAAATATTCAGACAGAACCTCCACCAATCTGTATGACAGGTACTCAGGTTGAAGCAACAGCAAATGTAATTCTTTCTCATAATTTCTATACCAATTGAAATGATTCAGAGTATCGCTTGTGATCCAATCAGTATAGCCCTGCCCCACAATCAAGAAACTCAATGGTCTCATCAGCAAACACAAGAGATTATCCCTCTACGTGATATCGCTTCTGATGATCAAGATTCTATTTCTGACGCTACCAGTCTACCTTTAGACTCTGTTAGGTATGATAACAAAACTTCTATCCCAAAACAATTATGAAAATAGCTTACAATGCAAGACTCCAGCTGGTAAGTTGAGTCCGCGTAAAGTCAATTTCTGCCAAGGCTGCTCGAAAGATCAAGCTGACTTCGAAGTCTGTCGAGAAGTTCAGACAGACATAGCCCAATTCCAACTTGATGAGATTATATTACGTCTAGCAGCATTACAAGTAATCAGATTTTATTGTCAAAAAGCAAAAAGATCAAATTCAGCATAACAAAGCTAATCCGATGTTGGTTGATAGAAGCACCTCAGCCGGATCTCAACAATATTTGGATGAAAGTGATATCCGAAGAGAATTAACGGTTAGATACCAACTATCTTAAATTCCATATTTGATCTATCTAGGACCGTGAAATTATGGCCGAAGTTCTGAGCGTTATGAGTGGTAGCATGGATGAACGCTTCAACGTGGTAAGCTTCTTTATGTATTCTCCAGTATATGTTTTCTTCAGGATCAAGGAATGAACACTTCCTTCTATTCGACCCAAAGCCGAGGAAATGATCCCATTTTTTCCCATTTGCAACAAGTATATAAGCTCTAAGAATACTAATCAGAAGAGAATTTCAGAACCGAGGCACTGATGCTCGCTGTTCAGCGTTGATATCTACAAGCATCGATACCGACAACGATATGCAAGACAAAAGCGTTGAAACATCAATGTCAGTTTTTATTGAATTATCTTCTTTGGAAAACTTAGTTACAGACATTATAACGTTGATAGATCAATTGCAACTGATGAAGTCAAGAGAACGAACGCTCTGACTTCACCAATACCTGTTAACAATTCAGCGAGGAAATTATGTTCACGAACTTCTCAGCTCAGTAAAAGCCAAGATATCGAATTCGATGAGCGATCCATTCAAACATCTACTAGAGAAGATTACAAGAGTGATGGACAGGATCGTTCTATTCAAACTTCTCTTCTACTCGAACTCACAGAACCCAAAGCAAAACTGGTCTCAAAGACGTTTGATATCTATGAAGTCTGATGTTAAACATTGAAACTACTGATATATCATCTGTTTAGAGTGACAAATCACAAGCTGATCGTTCAATTCAAACATCCTATAGAGAAAATGCTGATAGAAATACATCACCCATTAATCAAAGTACAACTGCTGCTATCCAAACTGAATCAAATAGAGAAAAAGCATTGGCGGCAAGAAGTGTCGGAAGTAGTTATGAAACAGATTCCAGGTTTCCAATCGTTGTTCAGTAGTTATATTACCGTAGTTCATTCAGGGAAGGCAATGATAGCAATGATGAAAAGCGGTCCGAAATGGATAGTAGTAGAATGTGTCGATCAGTTGTGACAAGCATGACTGGAAGTTCGCAGTTAGGAGTGACGTATTAGCTCTCATTAATACGATACATACACGTTCCCCTATTTAGGCATAGAGCACGCTCAAGCTCAACATCTGGATTGGGTAACAGCATTTATGATGATGACTTAAGACAAGTATTCCATTATTCTTTTTTTTTGTTTACTGATTGTCACTTTGAAGGAAGTCATTATACAGACAGATGACTCTTATCTAAAAATAGCACGTAGATTGGATGAATACCGTAATAACAAGACGCAGTTCCTTCCAGTTTGTGCTGCTTCACCTCTACTAAGTCGAGAGGTTGAGCCATTCAAGTTAGTTTTGTCGCACAAAATGGTTGCATTTGATCACTTATGTATGATGTGTAAACTTGTAGAACTGACCGACCATCTGAACGTCGTGGATTTTTCGTAGATTCAATGCAAAACATGAGAAAGCGATCGTCTAATAGAGGAAGAAGGAAGCTCAGCAGAATGCATTCAATGTAAATCATAATTCATGTATTCATGATAGTTACATCTTAATTTAGAAATAGAGAAGCACAAACTACTGAGGAGATAGAAGAAGAAGGTGAACCGATGAATCCCGTAAGTTCTGAGAAGAAAAAAAAATATATTTCATGTCATATGATATTCATGTTCATACTCGTCTATTCGTTATATAATTTTCAGATGCGTTTGGTTACGAAACGCAAATAGCTTCAAGTTGATTAGGTTTGACTTTTTGAGCAGTTGCTTACGTTTTGTTCGGTGATAGCAGTAGCATTAACCTTTGCTTCGATAGTCACAGCTTCTGTTAACATAGTCTAAAACCCGCATGAATCATACTTTATTTCCTTATACAAGCAACATGTTATTATATGAGATCATTTATATTTCAGGGAGAGAAGAGCAGATCCATTTCTCCAAACAGACGTCCACGTGGTTCAGCCTTGTTAGAAAGAAAAGCCAGCCTTCCTACGGGTATAAGCAGAGGAAAAGTTGGAGAATACATTCGTAAACATGAACGTGGGATTCCAAATCCAGCTACGGAACGTAGAAAACCCATTCAAATAATCAGACAGTATGCAGTAGAAGACAAAGCCACATGAATGTATATGTTAGTCAGTTACTTCCCCCCTTATTCATTCATTTTTCTTAATTATATTGGCAATGGAATGTTGCACGAGTGACGAAAATTATTTTTCCAAAATCATTTATTTGTTATATGAATACTACGGGTCAGTTAATGTTTTCGTCGTTAGTTGTTCGCTGATCAATCTTTCAAACTTTTGAAAAACACTTTTATACAGGAAGTTCCATCATTCATCTAAGTTATATATGTATATTGTAAGATATTCATAATATCATCTAATAAAACTCACCTTAAAGTTCTTTTCACCCTCATACAGACACTTGTAACCTTGATTGAGTAACAAGGTTTGGTTAGCTAAAGATGATGCTTCAGATACTATTCCATCAAAACCCTGTTTCTAAACATCATCAGGAACTTGTAAGCATGTCCGTTTCGTCAATGACTACCTTCAACTCATCAAATGAGATACCATGATGAACAAGTGCTTTGGCTATGCCTTGTCGTTGATGTTCTTTCTCGATAAAAGTAATTTCTCGACGTAGGACTTTCACAACTTTTTTATCCATTTGTTGCCAGAAGTTTGCTTTTGCTTTATCAAGTATCTCACCTGAAGAGGCATGACACCAAGTGATCTTCACCAAGTGATCACTAACCTAGTACACCGACATTACCAGTTAAAGGTACATCACTCAATTTGATCGGCTCAATGTCTTTTGACATATCGCGATTTCCAACAGACAAAAGACGACATCCGACTAATGCGGAAGTTGCCTGTAAAAGGGGTATTATAAATAACTTCTTATTGTCGATGCTACAATAGGCAAAACATTCTGACCACTGAGCGGATCGAACGCCCAACCTTTCGATCTGGAGTCGAACGCGCTACCATTGCGCCAAGCAGTCATGTTTAGCAACAATCATTATTCACCTGACAATGCCACAAAGACACTTACTAACCTTTTCACGAACCAAATATGAATATGGGTATGATAAACTCTTAGCTATCAGATATTCAGCGAGTGGTTGAATGTCTTGTGCTGTTAGTTTGAGATACTGAGTACATTTGTTTTTTTGATTGTTTGATCTTGTGTTACCTGGCTGTGCGGTTCGAACTTGATAAACCTTTGAGAGATGATTTCAATGAGAGCATTAGTATCATTTTTTGTAGCTTTGATGAAGTCATACTTTTTAAAAACATCGCCTTTAGCTATAGTAGAAGCTTAAATATACTTATTTTGATTTTGAAAGAATGGAGAGGAGGAGGAGAGGAGGAGAAGAACTATGAGAGTTTGAACTGAATGATCAGACAGACTTATATTCAACAAACGTTACCATTTCGAGTTGAAGTAAGTAGATTGCGTATCATGTTAGTAGCAGTTGAGTCAGTAGATATGGATTTCTCCAAATAAAAATCTGCAAAACAACGAAGAGAAAGTCATAAGTGTGGTTGTAACTCATTGAAGAACAATGAAACTATTGTAGCTTCCATCATGATTATCAGATTTCAATTGATTTCAACTAGAAAAGGGTAAAAAGGAAATTTAACAAACCAATTTAGTCGCATTTTGTGATGAAAATAAAAAATACGTGAAAACGTGAAAGATATTTCAATGGCACGGTTGTGACAAATGGCATGACAGGAGCTATCAAAAATGACAAAATGTTTGTCTGGTTTAGCAGTGTGAACATAACATAAGATGTAGAAGAAGCATAAGATGAGAGAATTACTTGCATGTATAACAGCTTTCAAAAGATCAGAAGTTTCATGAGGCTTTTCAGAAAACAAACGAGTTGTCTGTTGACTAAGTTGAGTTTGATTGAAAAGAAAATATGTAAGTGTGGTCTTATCGCTACCCCGTCTTTCTTCCATTCCAATAACGTTACAGATTTACGAATTAATGATAGAAAATGATAATAGGGAGCTAGGATGGTAATAGACCTAGATTAAAGACAGAAGAGAGGAAGGGGGTAAGGAGAAGTAAGGGAGAGTAAGTTGGCACTTCCTTTCTAGCTAATGTTACAAAGAGGCCAAAATAGATTTTTTTTTCTCTCTGAATGTTCGAGAGTGAAATTCTTGTTTTTGAGAAAAACACGATGGGAGGAGGAAGAGGATGGCTAAGTCTGAATTCAATTTATAATATTATAAGTTTGTAGTTGGTTGGTTGGTTAAAAGAAAACAAGTTTTTAACTATGAAAACAGATTTTGATGTTTGTGTGGTAATACTCTGTCGCATAATTAGCATTTGAAACACTTGTAAAATTATTATTATATGTATTTAGATAGTAATAACTATGATCTCTTGTGTCTGCATCATCTTCATTTCAATGTTGGAGGTCATAGTGTAAAGCCCAGGAAGAAATTAGATGAAACAGAGGGTGGATATTGGCCTGACCCACCTATGAATCCATTCACTCAATCTCAAACATTCGTTATTCATTCTTCTAATATTTTTATTTTCCTCTTTAAAATGATCATCATCATCATCATCATCTCTTCTAGTTCTTCCTTAACGTTATTGGTCAATCCCATGCCATTCAATATAACTGGTTCAAAATGTCTTTGAACAATCTTCTTTCAAACCAATCCATAGCTTTGAATATGAATTCTAACATTTATATTTCTGAAAAAAAGAGAAAGAAGAAGTAGCAGAGACAGAGTTTGACGATTAAAAATCTTTTTTTTGTTCCTTTTTCTCCTCTTTTTTTTCGGTCATTCTGTCCTTTTGTAGTTTAACCAGAAGATGTGTGTTGAGAGTAATAACATGTGTCAGTTCATTTTGTATTTGTTTCTCTCTCGTTGCAAAGTAATTTTTTTAATTTTCAAATATTGTCCAAGTGACAGGAATACTACTCAATACAAAGAAATTAAAAAAACGAACAACCGGTTCATGCTCTGATATTTGCAAGAAATGAAAATGAACCTTATTGTGCATGGTAATTAGCATTACGTGTTGATGCACGTGAAATCACGTACAGCCATTTCAACTTTGTTTTTTTTCTTTTTGATTCAGAATTCTTTGTCTTCAATTCTCATTCGTATTAATAATAACACGATTCAGTATGTTTCCTTATTTGTATTGATTGCGTTGTGATCAATGCTGAATGAAGTGTGTTTATGAGTCAAAGAGGTAAATGTGCTGATGTAAAGAAAAAAAAGGTGAAAAAGCGTAACAAAAAAAGAAAAATGTGGAGAGAAAAAGATGGATAATGATAGAGAGGGAGAGAGAGAGAGAGAGATATGTGTAGAAGAATCTAATCAATTGAAGTCCGGCAGACATCTTGACGCTTTCAAAGATTGGGTCTAGCTCAAGGTGTGGTGTACTATGAGATGTGTTAGCCTTTGCAACAATCATTTCCCATTTTGATGCTTTCAAATTCATTCATCATAAGTTTATGAGATTGTTTTGGAAGTTAGAAAACCATTAATCCATTCTCTTCCGGTCTGGACAGTTTTTGTCGCAAATTCATTGAAACATAGTACATATCCAGTCTTCTCAATCAAGAAGTTGATTCAAACGTAGGCATTTTATCTTTGTGAAAAGCTTTGATGATTGTGTATTTGATAGTTTTGCTTGTTATTTTATTTTAAAAAACTTTGATCATCATTCCTGACTTCTCCGGCCTTCTTTTCATATTCATTCACATTGCATCCTTATTGAAAAGAAGCTTGATCTCATGAAACTGCTTTGAAACACTTTCATTCGGACAGTACATTGTCCTTGATCTCATCTAAACCATCTTTGTACCTGAAAAGTTGCAATGTGAATTCCATTTTTTTTGTTCTTCCACTATTCTCCATAAAAAGCAGCTCAAGATTTCAGCATCACAGCTGGATATCATTGTGTATGTTTTTGCATGCAATACGATGATGGATGAAAGACATTCTGATCTCACCAACCAAACATTTTTGTTTTACAATCCATCATGAAATAGTTTTTTGTTTGAATATTTTATATGGTTAAGATGTCTCTCTCTATCTTTATACTGTTCTTACTCTACTAACCGAGAACGCTTTCAGTGGCAATTGCCATTGTAAGTTATCGATTGATTATCTATCTATCTAGCTATAAAAGTGTAAAATAGTTTCTTTGAAAGTTCGTTTCCTTCTTCTTCATCTATTTATTTTCGAATACAAACAGCTGATTTCATGTTTTCATAACGATTTCATTTGGATATCTCTTTATAAGCTTAAAACCTGTTGAATGAATGTTCCTATATGATATGTTGTGTTTCTTTTATTATATACAATTAACAGGCCTATGTACCATGTTTGGATGGTTTATGGCTTTTCGGGAAAATGGAGCCCCCATACGCTATCCTGAGCAACGAACGCCTGTGACATTAGGTAATTCAAGACGAACATCGTCCATCTTTCTTTCTCTCTCTCTCTATGTCTTTCCTTCAAAACTCTTATAATATTCTATTTTTTCTTATTTTCTTTTAAGATACTAATATAGTTGGAATATATTTGATATTTCTTGTTCCATCAATTGCTTTCCTAATAATCCTAAGTGGAATTCGTAAATATCGAATATCGTCAACAATCAGCTTTCTATTATTAATGTTCGTAGGATGTTCCTTATTAAGTAAGCTTTTTATTTTTATTTATTACACTGCTTTTTTGACCAATTCACTTTTAGTATCGCTCAATCATCCATGCTGGCATCGATCGGACACCCAGATTCATACACAGTTTAAGGCTTTTTCATCTGAAAAGTTCACTGCAAACATAACTGTTCGTGTTGGTCTTCAGTTCTTTAATATGTCACTCACAAGTATCTCAATGCTCAAGCTGTGCTTTTGAAATATCCCTCTTGCTTAGGTTCGGAGTTGGATGCCAATGGAGAGATTCCATTAAGATACAACGAAAGGATATCTTTCACTGAAGGTTTTTTCTACAACACCTTGTCATACTGATACATATGATATCTTCAGTGCATGTGCTTGAGAAAGAACTTGAAAATGCTCAAAAGAAAGGTCTACCTTATCCCATTCTCAAAGTTATGGAATATTTATCAGCCAATGGCTTCAGTTGGGGCAGACAGTACCGCGTGGCTGGTTTGTAAACATGGCTTTCGTTTCGTTGACAGTTCTTCCCTAGGTTATTATACAAGCTTTGTTCTTCATTTGGCTCTCTTCACTTGGTGTATAACCTTCTTATGCTTGTGCTTCCTACCACATATGTTTGCTAAGGCTCTATTATCAACTGGTGTTTTAATGGTCATCGGTAGGAGCCTTATCTCTCTTCTTCACGACTCTAACAATAGAATTTCAGGAAATTTCATATTTCTCTCCAATATTCCACGAAAAATGAACATACGATTCCCTACAGAGTATGGATCTACTGTTCTCCAATTTCGTCTCTCTTTCTGCTTTCATTTCATAGCCTTAGCTGGTTATCAACTTCTTTCTAAAAATATAAATTTGACTGTTCAGCGATGCTCAGCATATTTGTTGCATCCATTATATGGTTTTTGGAAAGCTGGCGCATATATCGTTTTAAAACCATCTTCGCTGCCTGTCGTTACGCTGAAGACAGTGTAGTTGACTTCTACAGGTACTGAATTTCATTTCAAAAGTCTTTTGGACAAAAGCAAAAGAGATGATTCCGGGCGGGCTCGAACCGCCGACCTTCTGTGTGTTAGACAGATGTGATAACCACTACACCACGGAACCCTTGCAGTGCATGCTTATAATTTTAACTCTGTGACTTCGCAACATTTTCGTTCGTTTTAGGTCTGCATCGGCTGTCACATCGGTTATTTCCATCCCGGATAAATTCATAGACGAAGAAATAAGATATAGGAAACGTTAATAATCAACTTCTAAGCATTTGTCTCATACTGACAAAGGAAAAACAAATTTTAGGTCGATTTCATAGAATGATTCAGGTTTTGAACTTAACGGGTTTTCACCATATTGCTTTCATAAGTTATTTAATGAATCTTACATGCTATAGGATGTTTAGTATTTCGCACAATAAACATTCAAATTGACTCTCTTTCACAACTGATGACCTAAACACCGAAATACTCGTTGCCACAGCAACCTCAACAAATCAATATATGTCTTAGCTGACCAGTACACCTAGTAATAGGAAGTTAAAAGTTAATATGGAAAATAAATCAGCGGATATCAATCAGCCGATTGATATAAACGATGTCTATAATCCATTACCTATAATTCTAATCGTATTCTTAGTAGTCTATCTCTGTATCGTATTCATAGCCTTTGTTTTAGTTTTAAAACTATGTGTAAGTGCATCCCCTTTCCTTTCATTGGACTTTAAACAATATCTTTCAGCCGGGAAAATTAAAACAAAAACCTTCGAACTTCAGCATACCACTACCTCCGACATTTATGGATTGTTCTTTCATAACCATTTGTTTTCCATGTTTAGATTGTAGTTTACGAAGTTTGTTACGAGCTCTCTGTCCGAGCAGGGTAAGAAGCGAGACAGTGGTCATCTAAACAACTGATTTGAATGTTTCAGGAAAAGTTAGAAAGGCTCAAAGCGAACTGCTCATGTCAACGACCCGATCAGTGGGATTTCGTTTGTTGTGTTTGTGTTTGATTTGTATTTTCATAATTAAATCATTTGATTGAATGTATGTTTGTGTGAAATCAAATTAATATCTTAATTTGAAAGAGAAGATTGTTATTGACAAATAAACTCATTCGATATTTATCGATTTTTGTAATTGACGTACGTTTAGTGGAGCTGACGCCACCATTTCTTCACGTCGGACTCATGGACAACGGTTGTGTTTTCCTTTTTCCGTTTTTTTTTTCGCGCTGTCCATCGACCTCTCTAAAAACTGTTAGCAATTGATAATTTTCTTTTGTTTCATCATTATTCTTTTCCTTTTCATTTCTACTCAGTATGTCTCTTCTACGAAATGACCTTGTCCTTCTGGATACCATTATTCAATTTTAGACCCACTTTCAAACCTTTTCCACTTGATATTCCATTTTACTTTTTAACCACTCACTTCACATTTGCATATTTTTTTGTTTCATACCAAACATTACTTTAAACAGTTTAAAACGGAAATGAAAGTATGTAATCATGGTTTCATAGAGGTTTATGCGATCAAAAAGATTTGGCAGACGATTTCGATCCTTTGTTGACCGTTCGCATTGGTGCGAATCCGATTGGCCTGAACCTCTCTCTATATGGGAATCAACCTATTCGGCTATGTTGAACCCAATGTTTGTCATCAATTGATTTTCTCTATTTTTTCTTCATACCTTATGATTGCAAGTTTCTCTTAGATGGTTTCTCTTTTTTGTCCTTCTGTACAGACGGTTCATATGTCATATGATCTCTCATTCATCCGTATTCTCTTGAAATGGTTTGATTGAATAGAGCTTTAACCGGAAAGAGACTACGGACCAATTGAGTTGCTGAGCTAGTTCTCATCTTCAAAAAAGTGTATTCTTGAAATAAGAGAAAGCTTGAAGTAGAGTTTAATCAGTTGTTTTTATTCTTCTTCTTTCAAACCAGCAAATGTCTTTGACACCACATGTCACTTGCTTTCTTGACGTCAAACACATAACGTTTTTTCATATTTTGCTCAACTTTCTGGTTGTCAACTAATAGGATTATAACCTGCCAATTAGATGATTTGTTGAATTGTTTAATTGAATGAGTAATTTCTAATTTCGATATTGATTAATCTAACGAGTTAAACCCAAAGAAGAACTTAAGATTCTTATCTTCAAAAATCTATATGGATGGGTCATAGTATCGATTTCACACCCCATCTGCCTTACTTTGTTTGTCAATCCATGTTGTTCGTTGTCATTTTCTTCTCCATCCCCCCTCTTCCTCTATTTCTCAGAAATAAAAACGTGATAGTTTGATAATTGAATTCCTCACATTCATGTTATCAATTGAAAAGAAAAAATATTTTGTTTAAGTTGTTCTAACATCAACATAAAGACTATCTTTGTGTACTTTTAAAAGCTTCTATTTGAACACAAAAAAATTTTGTCTAATTTGGTTTAAACACTGATAACGCAGCATGATTCCTCCTCCCGCCTTCTCTTGTTCACACCCAATGATTCATACTTCCATATGGCATGAAAAATTGAACACAATCATCCGTTTTTACATTGAAATTTTGGCCTTACTCTTTTAAAGATTTCTTAAAGACACTTATTCACCCATACCTATGAGTTCGTACCTTGTCAACCATTTTCCCAAAGTCTCAATGCCCTCCTCTCTCTCTCTGAATTGCTTGTTCAACTTCATTGAGGTCTCTCTCTCTCTTTCACTTTCATTCATTCACTTTCATAGCTTCATTGAAAATGTTTTTTTTTCGCTTTAGTCTGATACTGATCAACCATATTGACATGTAAAAACTGATTTTATTAAATTAGTGTTCAACTACTCTCAGTTTTCCCTCATTTTTCTATAGAAAACCTGTCCAATACTATCTATGCAGATGCAATTATTTTTTTTCGATTTGCCTTTCAACACCTCTTTATCTTTTTTTTTCTCGCAAGTCAATGCAATCTTTATTTTTCTTATGTTTTCTCTTCTATTGACGTGGTTCTTCTTCCGCTCATCATAAGGACAGCATCAAGCTTCAAGTCCTCTATAGATTCCGAAGACTTGTAGCTTGTTTGATATGACCAGCTTCTACGAAAATCAACATTAGTCCATCGCATAGGCATTTTTGATGTTTCTTACTATTATAATATAATATATTCATATACATTCATTTATATATATATATAGATATTGATGTACATTTGACCTTTTCGATTCTCATCAAATGCTCAGCCAATGTTACGTGTAGTTTCACGTGAAAAATTTATATTCTCACACTAGATCGTTGTTTTTCATTTCGATCAGTGTAGTCGCTGAGAACGGTTGTGCTTATCAACATCTTTCCTCGTAGTGCCAAATGTTTCTAACATATGTATTTATTATAAACAAAAGTTGTCCTTTATGTTAATTATTATGACAAAACTCATAATTTGTACGATCTGTCAATCTTTTGTGCTGAAATATTTACATAAGCTGCGCTTTCCTTCATCATGAGCATCTTGACGACGACGGTCAGAAAGTGAAAAACGAGAACGAATAATCGAGTTTTTAAAGTTTTTTCCACTTCATTCATCTTCTCTCACGTGCATACGTATTTTACATATGCAAATTAAATCATTTTGTTATTGTTTTTAGATGATAGTACATGAATGTCCTTGAATTCCATTAGATATGGTTAGATGTCCTATATCTTCATTTTTATAAATATCTTTGTAATATTAGTTGTTTCATTCATTCTCTTTTAACTTCTGTTAGTATTTAGATAATCAAACTGAATATCTTTATTTAATGAAAAATGAATAGTCGAATGAATCGTCTACGACGATCAATATCTCGATCTGTTCATCAGTTAGGAAATTTGTCAAGACAAGGTTAGTTTCAATATTATAAAATCAAGTTTTATTTTTGTATTTGTTAAGGAAGTCTAAGTGGCTTAGTACAGTTACCAACATCTTCTACGCCAGCTACACTGAGTGATCGTTTCGCGGTTTGTTTCTCTCTCAACGGTTCATCTCATAACTTATCAATCTTTAAGAGTCCGAGTAATTTTGGTCAGCTAGATGACACTATCAAGAAGAACAATGAATCTTTAAAAGAAATCGTTTCTATATTAGAAGAAAAGTATGTTATCACTCCTTATATGTTAATTCATCTTTCATCTCTTAGAGCAAATTTGGATTTTCATTATTCCAAAGCTTTGAAAAAGCTGTCAGCTCGATTGCACAAGATAACTCATGGAGCGAAATCGTAAGTTTAACAGTCTTACCGCCAAATATTCTAATTACGTGACTTCTTACGTGAAACGGCTTGGCACGTATGAAGCTTTCATTTTGAATAGTCGAGAGGAGAATTCGGTCGACTACAATTCATTTCTTTTCATTAGTTGTTTACTCTTTTAACTTTTAGGGAAATCGACCATGGATGGACAACGGTTGCTGAACAGTTTGATGTTCATGCTACTATTCATAAGTAATTTCTTTGTTTTCATACTTTTGAATATGATAGAGATTTCAGCAATCTGGGTTCAGCTATGACTGACGATGTTATTCAGCCGTTACGATCAGTTCAGCAAGGCCATCAAAGAACTATTCGGGCTGTAAGACACTTGTCATTAAAGTATTTTAATGATTTTATTTTAGGCCGAGATGTTTGTTGAGAAAGAAACTCATAAATTGAAGAATAAGAAAGAGGATACTAATAGAATAAAAAAGAATTTATATGAAGCTGCAAGACAATTAGAGAAAGTAGAATATGCCGCTGAACAAGACTCAATAACTTCTAATAAGGTTCAGTTATCAACAGAAATTTGAAACAGTTTGCTTTCTTCAGATTCCAACTCGTCGTCAAAAGTTACATGATCAAGTTGTTAATCTAGAAGATGTTTATATTTCTGATACTATCGATATGGAGAAACAAAGAAGGTAAAGCAACTGTTTTCTCCTTGAATCATAACTCTTCATTAACTTTCAGAGTTACGGAAAACGTTCTGAGAAAAGGAGTAGAAAGCTTAGAACTTGTCGAGAGACAACGCCTTGTGCATTGTCAAGCTGCACTAGGACGCTATCAAAAGAAAATCGAGCAACTAGCACCCAATCTTCAACAGGTTCCAAAAGGTGCTTCGTATATTGGTTTACCCGATTGTTTGTAGATGTTTGAGAGGTTCAGCAATAACCTTGATCTGGCTGTCTCGGCTCAAGCTTCGGATTACATTGAAATGCTACAGCCTACCACTGTCGCTGTTAATCAAGTTGTCTTAGCGGATTTATATGTGAGTTTGCATGTTTGAATATATTTATTAGAATCTCTGGGAACTGGGTTAAAGGTGAATTGAAGTCATGACATCTTGAATTCGTTTGTTGAGTTTTTGAGCATAAGGTTCTAAGCTATCATCAGCAATCGTATCATTCAACAGACTTCCGCACTCGTTTTGTGATTCGATTGGGCATTTCGATTTGTAATGTAGCTTAACAGCTACATCAATTGGAATGTGGATTGTTCTAACAATGTCTGGTGATTGTCGATGTAATCCAAAATGATTGAAAACTGTTGCAACGTTCGAAGTTCTGAAAAAGTTATTCATGAGTTGAAGGATATCTGAATCTACCTCGTAAAGCTTTTGCCGTATTCCCCTGGTGCACTTGGTTTACGTGACCTCATGTTGTTTCTCAATATGTATGGTTCATACCGTGAATCTGTTTGATTGGTAGGAAACTTGAAGATGTTTCGAACAGATAGGGAACTGAGCAAAATGGTTTCATTCCGTCGTTCTAGATAATCTAACATATTCTTGTAATTGCCATGTTTCAATGGCACAACTATCTCATCCGTATCGATTATCAGAATATATTTGTGACTGTGAATATGTCTGCAGATTATCGATTTTCACTTTCCTTTAAGAGTATGGCAAACCTATATAAACAGTCATTATAAGGAATTAGTTCGTGACGTCTCTTCTGTTGACGGTTTCTCCATATATATGAGTTTCTGACAAAAGGGATGTTAGGTGAATTTCCAGGGAGAGTCAGAGGGATCTGTAAAGAGATGGAGTTGGAAAACAGTTTTTTCAGTTAAGTAACCATACCACAGACACGTTTTTCTTCTTCTTGTAGTATTCCAAGACTTTAGATGTTTTCGGAGAAACTGTGTATGTATAGAGTTGAATCTTGTTAGCACCAAACAGAAATTGTGATTCAAACCATTCAACTAAACTTGAGGAAATATCTTCCTGAAATAGAAAATGAAATGTTCCTGTTTAGTCATTCTATTTACTTGAAAGTCCATCCCTTTGACACATACCACAACATCATCTTTATCATTTTCTTGTATAACTTGCTGTTTGTTAACAGCAAAAGCTGTAGGGGTGGCCTTGCACGGTGTTTTGCTTAATGCAATGGAATACGTTTGTTGTAAGTCTTTCATTCGTTCTGGCACAGGGCAACTCAGAAGATACGGAATGTAGAAGTGATCTCTACAATATATTATTTAAGAGATTCAATTTAACTACATTCTTACCGTGGATCCCATCCTCGTTGCCATATTTCCCTGTAATACCCTTTGACCGATGCGGATGAGCCATCTTGAGTGAAAATATTACAATAAACATCAGTTTCATTAGATAATCGTCGAAAATGCATACCAAGGACCTGTCATACAAGAGAGTCATTTGAATGGAAAGAGTAAATGAACCTGAATGACATGGCTTTCTTGAAAGAGTGAGCTGTATCGTCTGTCGTAATAAGCCGAGAATAAGTGAAAATCATTTTGTTCTAACCAAGATGAATGTACTACACTCTCTGGTTGTTTCAAGTAACAAGACCAATAATGTTCTTCAACTGTTTGGGACTGAAAAGCAAAACAATCATTATGATTCCTATCATTGCTTGATATACCTGTTCAACAACTGGTCGCACGTGAGCTTTGAACTCCTTTAGCTTTTGCATATAATCCAAAGAATCGAGGGCATAGTCTACATCCTCTAGGAAGTCACTCTTCTATTAATATAAGCTATTATTTGTTGATTGATAAACAACATCAATCTACCTGTGGTTTTTTGACATCAAAATCACTTTCTATTTCACGTAATCGTTTGTCCAGTAAGAATGTGCACGTTAGTAATGATAGAGAACATAGTGTTAGCTTAAGACGTGAATGCCATAAGCCATTTCTGGACATGGAACTGCAACAGAATCATTGCGTACTATGCCAATTATAGAAGAGAATCGTTTAAAAACATAAAAAAGAACTATGAAAGAAATAGCATTCTTGGGTTGAATTCATTGAATTTCCCAGTAGAAGGACTGTCATTATACTCGCAGTTGACCTGAAGACAATGAGACTTAGAGATGGTATGATGTGGAGACGTTCACGAAGAGATGAATAGAATAATTCAATCAATAATATCAAAGAAAAAAATAAGAAAAAGAGGGATTGATGAAGACATTGAATGGCCGTAGCGCCTTCGAACATCACGATGAAGAAGAACATGATGATAATGACCTTGTATGGTCCAAATATATTTGATTGTTTACATATTTTTGAGATTTTTAACCAATTATGATGTTGGCTATCAATTTACTTTCATATTTGGACGGAAAACAGTTGCCATCAGGGCAGAAGGGTGGAAATGAAAACATAAAACTGCTTAACTTTCATTATTGAATGAATGGATTGTATATCTAACTCTTCTGTTTTGCAGGCTGAAAATTTCGGAGAAGTTATGTCTTCGGAACGACGTCGATCATCGCTTATGAGGATTCATCTTCGTCTTGATAAGGAATTAACTAAGTTATATAGTCAGGGGAGAGCTGATGTAATGGCCACAAACACAAAACAAATTGTAAGTTTATTTCCTTATATTGCAAGTTTCTTTATGAACTCTCGTTTATAGACTTTAGTAGAGTTTATTGAGTACCTTCAATACAAAGTAAATGAGGCGTTAGGTAGCCTTGATGGAGGACAAATACGAGGATCTCATCGTCTTAGCCGTTTTCAACAAAAGTTAAAAGATAAATCTGTAAGAGATATTAACATGATAACTCAATTAACATTATATTTTGAAGGGTATACCATTAACTGTTCTTACTATGCCCTTAAGTGGAGAAGATCGATCTTTACCTCCTCCTTCGGCAACACCTTCTATTCACAGTAATTATGCACCATCAAGCTTCCGTAGTGATGATTATGAGGAATATGATAAAGTAAACTTTGATTCCATTCTCAATCAACTATCTTCATCTCTTACAGATAAGTGATGAAGGCTTTTGTAGTTCTTCTACACGTCCAGCTACCATCATTGACGAACCCGCCAATCCATCACTTTGTAGAGCTTTATATGATTTCGATCCCAAACATGATGACGAAATCACGGTAAGAAATGTTGAAACTCAAAAAGCTTTATGATTGTCGCTCTATTCAGATTCGTGCTGGACAAGTAGTGATAGTAGAAGATCGCATTGGGACAGACTGGCTTATCGGATACGTAATGGGTTCTGAAGGTCGAGCCTCAAAATCTGGTCGATTTCCAACATCTTACGTGGTGTTTTGATTGTTTTCTCACATATTGTGATTTTAAGAAGAAAAAAAGAATATTTCGTTATATGTACATAGAATAATAATTCGGAGATTACGTTATGAGTATAGCTTACTCACTCACCCACTCTCTCTCTGTGCATGTTGAGTATTAACTTGAATTTGAACGGTGCTATGTCATGTGTATCTGTGATAATAAGAAGCCCAGACGATGGCTCAAAAATAAGATGCAGCTTAATAAATTTTTTTTTCATAATTGATTGTTGATTGATTTTCATCATAATATATCCCCTCCCTCCTTCTCTCATCGTTTCTATCTCTCTTACTCTCATGTTGTTTGATAATCATTTGATTACAGTTTCCCTCTTTCCGATGTCTCAAATGGCCGGTTGAATGTGCAAGGTCACCTGGATTTCGTACAATTCGCTCCACCCTCCAGTTATCAATAGATTCTTACTTGACTACATTATATAATAGAATTTATATAGTTTTATTTATTATTTTTTCAAAAATTATATTATCAATTACATTATCATTAGACATCATATAGTTAATGAAAGCCTGTTTCGTACGTTACACATAGTTTGTAACCAGTTAGCTTTACCTTAGATTCATTTCTGTGTATCATCATCAAGCTACAAACAATCATCATCATCATATATAGTGTTGATTATGTTCATGTTCACGTGAATGTTCACGTGATCTATTTGATCTACTTCTATTTCATTTTTACATTTGGCCGCAAATATGAACGGTTGTTATAATCGTTCGTGTTTGACGTTTGACATGATTTTCATAATTTTATTCATGTTTCCCCCCTTTTATGCTTATTAGCTTGTCTTTTGTCGTTTGACTTGACGAGGCCGTCCTCACGTCAGCCAATTATTTGTCCGAAGGTTCATCTGAAAGCTTTTATTTTATCAAGAATAGAAGAAAGTCATGTTGAACGATGCCCAAAAAACGAAAAGCAAACGATGTTCTGCCTGTCTGCTGATTGATGTTTCCATTAATTTTCATTCTCGAATTATTTATAAAAAGAAACTTTTTTTTGTTTTCTAATCAGAATCTGGCGGATGTCTCGATCTCAACATCAACCCGCGCATTGCTGTTTCAGTTGGTTATTGCTTAGAGAGAGAGAGACCTTAACTGACAGTCATACAAAAAAGAGTGAAGTAAAAAAGAAAATTTCTGGATATTCTCATTATGACCTCCAGATTCACAGTTGTTATGAAGCCTGTTTGACTCATTTGATGTTTCTTTTTTTGTATTTTGGCTGAAGATTCAGAAGGCTACGTCTACAGGCGAGCTGATGACTGGCATCTGTAAACAGGACTTTTACTAAAAGCCCATGTTAATTATTTCTTAAATGATGCATTTAAGCCCTTCATGTTCAGCTATGAGAGGAACAGTCTATAGGCAGATGGAAAGCAAGGGAGAGTGTGAGAGAGAGAGTGGAAGGGAAGATGCAAAGAAATTTGATTATTCTCGACAGTTTCTCTCTTATCATTCTGCCAGCTTTTCCATTTCGTCCGAACGGAAAAGGCTTCCTCCTTTCTCTGAAAATCTCGATTTCCTATTGTGTGCTAACTAGCTTATATCCCTTACGATATCACTCATCAACATCATTCACGAATTTGCATTCTTAGATATTCTAATTGCAAGTGTGTGTGTGTGTATGTGTGTAGGTGAAGCCTAAGGAATGATGTTAAGACGAATAACGATATATGTTGTTCTTCCATAAACATTTTCCCGCATTTTGTAAGATATTGGGGATCATATACGATGGTCATTGACTGGCTTTCTCATTCATTCATAATCCAGTATTTTACTTTATGTTGTTTATTTGCTATTTTATATGTTCTTTTTCAGCTTCATCTTCTTCAGCTTCTTCTTCTTCTTCTTCTTCTTCCTATTTTGGTCTTTTTGTCTGTTTTGATTCACATCTTCATACATCTCTCTTTAGTTTTAATCTCATCAATTGAATGATTGCAAGCAGGCAAGCAAGCCATCCCCCAGGCAACATTCATTTTGCCCTTTAGCTTATCTCTCTCTATCTCTCTCTTTCTCGTTTCATATCTCTCTCTCTCTATATGTATGTTCATATTTCTTCTCCGTTTTTTTGGGACAAGTTTAACATTGACAATCATCTGCTTCAACTGTTTCTTCCCTATTAGAACAACATCCTAATTGGAACGGAGCTGTTAAGACGATTTGAAACAATTTTTGATCATTTGATTAACTTTTTCGGTATCTCAACAATCTCAGATATCTTACCGTATATGGTGAAAACAGCATTAAGGCTTACGAAATATTATTTTGTTTCTACAATTACAATAAGTCTGAATCATCCAAATGAACTTTATGTGATTTACAACGCCTCATCTGTTTTTCTCATTTTGGACATTCATTCGGACATGGTAGGCGTTTGCCTTAATAGGGTATGAAGGTAATCCTACCTTCTGTCTCACTCATCCTCTCTCTCTCTCTTCCTCTCTCTCTCCCACTCTCTTACCCGTTAGTCTACTTCAAACTATGTATATCTCATTGTATTATATAAGAATACAAAACTGTTTTGAATGCCCCTAATAACATTCTTCATAGGCTTAAGCCCTATCTAAGCTCCGGCGGCAGCTTGTAAGGTACGTGTTCAAATGCCCCGAAAACCTGTTTAAATGGCTGATCAGCTACCGAGTTTTCCAGTTGATAATGCATTTATCTCCTTCTATGGGCAACACACACACATAAATTTATGATCAGATTGTCAATGATGATGATGAACTGAGTCCTAGTCCCATGTTGAGCATGTCTGTCCTTGGAATTGTAGAATCAGATGAGAACAAAAAAATGGATGAAAAAGGAAATTGAGAAAGAGATAGTATGCAATACAGAAGAGAAATAAGAGAGATAGAAGAAGCTGGAATATTCAATGGTCATTAGACGGATATTTTTCTTTTCAATCCCATTCCCTTCTGAAATGAAATGAGAAAAGAGAAAAAAAAAGTTCAGAAAAATGTATTTCGGTAAGAATACAATGTAAGAGAGACCCAACATGAGAATCTAAAAAAAAAATAAAAATATTTGATGATGTCAATTGAGATTGGTTAGAATGTTGTTTCTCATTTCGTCTTCACCTTGGACACTTTTTGTTTCAATTCGCATCTACTACCGCCACCACCATCAGCATCACCACACCCTTTCTCTTGAGAACATTTTCATAAAAATATATATTTTTTGCTTATTTATATAGTTGAGTTGAACAATCAAGAAGTTATAAGGTTGATGTCATCTGAAGTCATTCACCCATAGATGTCATACAAGAAGACACATACATGTATATCATATAGTTAATAGAAACTTGATGATGATATAACAACACATAAAGACAAGCTTATAGGCTTGAAAACTTGATTGTAATCAAAAGATTTCTTTTCATTTCACAAACTATTTGAATGAATGAATTGAGAAGAGGAAAGTTATCTTTCATGTAATGGGTAATGGTCTGTCCACTTCTTGTAATTCATTCTTTGAAGTTTAAAAAAAAACAATTTCGATCCGTTGGCAGGCTGCCACTGCTGCTACTGCTAACGGTGATAAGTGACCTTAGCTGATTGAGTTTGAAGATTAACTATAATTGCTGTCTTTTCACCTTATACAGTTATTCCACCTATGGCTGTACTCATTTTCATTCTCCTTCTTTCTCTTCATACCTCATTAAAACAGTTTTCACTTTTGAAGAAGCACACATTGAACGATCAGCTTTGATGATCTTCTCCTCAGATGTCATGTTTCAGAGAAAACTTTTTTTTCTTTTCTCATCCTTTTTTTCTTATCAACTTTAACACGTTTTGATAATTATTTTGAATTAACTTGATGAGGATGATGAGAGATTGTTGATTATTAGCTGGTTGCCACCCAGTCATGACCACCCCCCCCCCCCCCACCTCTCTTCCCAAATTTGGTCATCAGATTACAGCAAAAGTTGTCTGTTTATGGGAAGACGCCATTCTATCTTCGAATGTCGCTGCCACCACGACGTGTTCTTCTCATCTGAGCTTTTACTCATTTTGAAAAGCTTTCTTGAGATGCTCATTCATTTCTTCTACATTACCTGACTGTTTACCTTTTGTATGTAGTTTAGTCACAACCAACTCATGACTGAAAACTACCGTCAGTTTCAATTGTTTTTTGAAATATTGATAATTGCAATATCTTTCATCCTTTTTGGGGGGATATTTGGAATGATAAGAATCCTACTTGATTTGTGTCTATCAATTAGCCAGAATTGGCAATTAGTTCACGAGTTTTCCAGATTTTTTGTCTCTTGCGCAACAGTTGGCCTCCCCTTCCTTTCATTTGTTATCATGAAAGCTTCTCATCTACATCCTTGTAGCTGTTCTTCCTTTTCTATTTGCTGATTTGATGATGCATCTTTCCTCTTTTTGTTCTCTTTTTTCTTCTTTTCACTTGTTCAACTCTTAACTCGATTAAGCTTTTCCTTCATTTCGCAATCATTGATAAGACGGCTTCGTGATGCTTTCACTTCCAGCATCTTCCGCTAAGGAAAGTTACTTTCCTCCCTCTTGTTCACCTTGTCTTCATCGGGATTCCATTTTCATTCATCTTCCTCACTCTCTCTCTCATCTTCTCTCATGTGATTGGGACGTCCTGCAATCATCTTTTAAAATTATTTTTTAATAATTCATCGTATTTATTACTTCTGCTGGAACCTCAAACACGTTTATGAGAAATGCCCTGAGGGTTAAAAGTGTTGTGTTTGACTTCTCAATGGGTCGTATCGACAAAGCGAAATCTCCTAAAGTATTCATCTTTCCGATCTGTTTGTATCTGAAGAATCCACGTTTTGACTGAGAAAAAAAGAATAACGCATTCAAAGGCGTTTTTTTCTTCTTTTTTTTTCCTTCTTCTCCCCTTTCCTCGTTATGACAGAACTCACAGCTTGAAGATATTTTCAAAGGCAAAAGCTTAGATCTATCGATGTGAAAATACTCTGGGACAAAGCCATTTTTTGTGTGTTCGAACATCCAATGTCGTCGTCTTAAGCCCATCGAATGCCAAATGTTGTCTTTCTTCAGAAGAATTTCATGAGAGGTGTGGCTTCGATTTCAAAGACATCCGAAGGCTTTTCATTCAAATTATATGTATTTCGTAACAAAACTGATATCTAATGCTTAAAAAAGTGTCTTCTGATGCATTCAATCAAGCAAGCAACGCCTTCTGAATCATCATTCGTTCGTTGATGGGGTTTGTTCTGTTCTGTGAAAGTTTTTTTTTCTTTCTCAAAAAATTCTTTACTTGGAACATGCAAATTTTTGTTAACAAAATGTAAACCTCTTTCTATACATACCTTGTATCTTCTCTCATACTCTCTCTCTCTCTCTTCTTCTCTCTTCCAATCTCTCTCTCTCTTTCTCTGGACCTATCTCTCTTCTCAATACTTGATGGATCCGGTTAAGGCCATTAGAACTTCGGTTCTTTTTACTGTTACATCTTTGTTTCTTTCAAACATTGACTCATCTGATTATCAAAAGGAAAGCTGATAATTAGTGTTTCAATTTCCAATTCGGTCTTCTGCCCTCTCCCTGTTATGCTAATCAGACAGCTACTTTCAATGACTTCCAATTCGACAAAAAACAAATCTTTTTTCGGAAGCCATTTATGTGCTCCAAATCACCTTGAGATCCTTGCGTTGGCGTTAGTGCATAGTGAACTCTAAGAGAGAGAAAAAAGAAAGTGAGACAAGTCATAAATGGTAATGATTTGCCTCAAATAGACGCAGCAGGAAGTTTGAATTACGTGTTCCTTCCTTTACTCTTCCGACACTGTGAACAGATGACGATCATTCTGAATTCCATCAAAGCTTTTCTATGCCTTCACTGTGCGCCTGTTATTCAATTTGAAATAAGTTATGAAACGAACATTGATGATGCTGTCGGTCTGACTCTTAAGATGCTTAAGATGTTTGACTGTTTTCAGTTTGATGATGATGTGGACGACCAAGCGAAAAATCTTACAAAAGCCTCATATGGCCAGATTCCGCTAAGCCAATTTCTGTTCTGTTTCATTTTCCTCAATCATCTTGCCTTAAATGTCAATAAAAATCCTTAACTTGATTAATTTCTAACACTTGGATAATAAAATATTTCAGATTCCAACACAACTTGATGGCTTCGAGGTCAAACGTGCTCCACCCATTCCAACTGATTGAGACATAGACCTATACTCTCTCTCTCGCTCATAATTCACTTCCTCCACAAACTCTTTCAATTCATATATAGTGAGAGCTTCAACTTCTCTCTCTCTATCATTGATTATTGATTATCTACTTCTTCTTTTTTTTTAATTTAAAAAAAAATGCCATTTTATCAAATGGCATTCGTTCCATGTAGGCGTGACGGCTACCGTCTTGCTTTTCCCGTTTTTACCATTTGTAAAACTCTTTCTCATCAACTATCATTTTCAATTTTTCTATTCAGTCGGTCATTTTCTTCTCTTCGTCTTCGGCATGTAATAACAGTTACTTTATTTATATTATTTATAGGCACTTTACATATGGCAAAAGCCATAGTTCTGCTTCTCCTGGGCATTGCTGCCTGTCATGCCCACTCAGTAACCTACTACAGAGGTTCAGGTAAGATATATAAATGATTCTCATCAACTTTCCACATCCAAACCATCACATTCACTTGGTCAAGATGAAATTGAACTATCGTTCTATTATTTTTTCTAAAATCAACTTTTGAAATCAGAGAAAGACAGTTTTATCATCCAGTCTGCCATCAGACTGCATGGGCTTGTCATCTAGTTACTGAGCTGCCCATGAAAACAAAAAGAAAAGAAAACGAAAAAGTTAACCACACCCAGTTAGCTGATCACACTATCAACTCCTTTCTCTCTCTTTTTCCTCTCTCTCGCTCTCTGTAGTTCTCTCAAATTTCAATTATCTTCAATGATTTTTGCTTTTTACATACAATATATATATTTGTATGTCTCTCTCTCACTCTCTCTTACTATCTCTCTACCTAGAGATACCTATCGTTATGAACAATCTTACATTTACCCTCCACCCACCCTCCTATTTTCCTTATACAACCCATCATCATCATGTGAAGCTTTGGTCCATCATCTATGAAACCAGTTTCTTCTTTCTTCTGTCTCCTTCGCAGGACATTGTGGTTTGACATTTTGTAACAGTGGGTGAATAGAAATGAACGTTATATAATTAGGAAAACTAGTAAAATATTTAATTTATAACGGTCGTCCGAAAGAGAAAGTTCACAGATTTCACTTTAAGTGCAAAACGGGTTCACGTTTTCACGTGGCGATGCGTGAGCTCAAAATCATTTTGAATGAAATGTGAGCGGCAGAACGGTTGTGTTTGGCATTTCTCTATTAGAAACTTGTTTTTTTTTTTAATTTTTCAATTATTGATATAGCTGCAAGAGAGTTTTTGCTTATCAATCTTGGAATCGAGAGGCTTTTTCTATCTTCTATCGCAGTCATAGAAGTTTCATTAAAGTCTTGAGTGGAATGATGCGTGGTCGACAATTAAAGTAATTATTTGGAAAAAAAAATAAGAAAAGTGCGTAGGTCTGATAGGACTAATAGCCAGTCTGCGAAGGAAAGTGATGTCTCATTGAAATGCAACTGTTAGACAAACGACACCCTTTGGCTAGCCATACAACTAGTTTGTGGTTTCTGATGGCGTCCAACTAGACGAATATCACCTTTGGAGGATGAAGGTTTACAGATATGAAGAGTGAGAGAGAGAGAGAGTGAGAGAGTGAGAGAGTGAAAAAGAAAGAGGAATAAGGCTAAGAAATAAGAAATGACGAAGAGAATTCTGGGGGGGATCTAGTAGAAGAGATTGAAGGCCACGGATGTCTCTAGAGGTGGTTAAGAAGATTGTTTTAAACAGAATTATGAATAGGGTACACCTGAAATATCTAAATTCGGAAGAAACATGATTGCAGTTCCTCATAATCCGCGAAAATTTTTTTTTGTTTCAATTTTTGCAGAAACAAGTTAGAAGTTTATGCGTTTCTTCAATTTTACGATCAAAAGTTCATCATTCATCAACAGAATCATTTGAAATTTGAAAACTATCAGCTAATTTGCAAAAATATTTTAATTTTCGACGACGTTGATGTTGAAAGTAATAGTTTGATTGTTACAGGAAGTTTACAATGCCGTGTTGATGACCCTCTATCATGTAGTCAAGAGAAACAAGAAGTTTGTGTCTTCACAAATGGACAGTACAAATGTGAATGTCCAAATGGAGTAAGCAGATTATCAGATGGAAGATGTATGCTAGTCAATGAATGTGCTCGACCATCAACAAATGGATGTCATAAAGACGCTAATTGCATTGACAGGGTAAGTGTTATTGTTATAAGTACTTCTTTATTAACTTTTGTCTTTTCTCTTTTTTTTTAGCTAGATGGATACACCTGCCAATGTAAAACAGGCTTTGCTGATGTTTCTGTTGATCGTGTTAACAAGCCAGGAAGAATTTGTCAACGAACTCAGAACGAGTGCGGTGCCAAACAAACGTACTTTCAAATGTATAAGGGATTCAATTTCTAATCTTTACAATTACAGCTATGGCGTTGATTGCGATGCCAGTGCTTCATGCGTTGATACTCCAGAAGGATTCCAATGTGTCTGCCAACCTGGATTCGCTGATATCTCCGACTCTGTCAGCAAACTTCCCGGAAGAAAGGTTTCAGTTCATTTACAACTATCGAATCAATGATTCCTTCTTAGTGCATTGAAATGAAAAACGAATGTCTCGATGGTTCAGCTGATTGTTCTTCCAATGCTGATTGCTTTGACCGTCCTGATAGTTATGAGTGCAGGTTTGGGAACCGAAGACAAAACAGAAAAAGCAAAATAAAACTTCAGATGCCGACCAGGATTCGTTGATGCCTCTCCTGATGTTTCTCATTACCCTGGACGTGTTTGTAACCGTCCAAAGGGACCAGAGCACTACGGTTACATGTCTGTTCACAATCAATGTTCTGACCACAAACAATGCGGACCAAACGAGGAATGCAGATATAACCCACAAGGACAAATGGTTTGCCAATGCAAGAGAGGTTCCGTCCAACAAGCTGATGGAAAATGCAAATGTGCGTAGATGGAAACTAAGAGTGGAATTATTTTCCTCAGATCAATTTTCCTATTACTTATTGATTCTTACAGTGTTCTCTCAATGTGAACGTCAGAACGAGTGTGACCATAACGCTTTGTGCTCAAACACCTATGATGGATACAGATGCCAATGTAAAGCTGGATTCAAGGATGTTTCTCCTGATCCATTCAGACTTCCAGGAAGAAAATGCCAGCAAAGTAATACTTCCCCAGTTATTCTCAAATTATTTGCATCCTATTTCAGTCAAGAACGAATGTTCCGATGGAACTCACGACTGTTCACCTTTGGCAGAATGCGAAGACACCCAGGTAAATTCTATATTCAGTATCAAGTAAACACCATACTAAAAATCTTTTTTTCAGCACGGTTTTCTTTGCAAATGTAAATCTGGCTGTACTGATGTCTCATCTCGTTATGGTTTGGCTACAGGACGTCGTTGTTCAGAGGGTAAGCCGACTAATTTTGATCTGGAAGTTTTACAAATACTTCAGGAGCTCACCAATGCTCTGACTCTTCCTTGAACTCCTGTGACAAGAATGCTGATTGCGTCCAATTGCCTGATGGATATACCTGTAAATGTATCAATGGATACGTTGATGTCTCATCAAACGCTAACTTACCACCTGGACGTGTCTGTACTTTGAGCACTGCTTGGTGAATAATATATTCTTGTATCAAAAATAATAATCAAACGTTTCAGCCCTGCTCAAGCTACTGATCTAGTATTCCTCATTGATGGTTCTGGATCTATCGGATCATACATTTTCCAAACAGAGGTTTTGAACATCAATTTTCCTGATCACAAGATTCTTTCAGGTTCTCCGATTCTTGTCTGAGTTCACCGAGCTCTTCGACATCAGTCCAGAAAAGACACGAGTTTCTGTCGTCCAATATTCCGACCAAATCAGACACGAGTTCGGATTGAACGAATACAGAAACAGTGCTACCCTTCACCAAGGAATTAGAAGCATCGAGTATGTCATACGTTATTCGTAATTTATAAACGAAACGTTTTTTTCAGCTATCTCACTGGACTCACCAGAACTGGAGCTGCTATTGAGCACGTTGCCAATGAAGCTTTCTCTGAGAGACGTGGTGCTCGTGGCAGAGATGCTGGTGTTACCAGAGTCTGTATTGTCATTACTGACGGAAGAAGTCAGGTATGCCAAAATTTCACTTAATCGGAAGCATAATGTTATCATTTCAAGGACAATGTCACCATTCCTGCTGACAACGCCCGTCGATTGGATATCCAATTATTCGCTGTAGGAGTTACCAATCACGTTTTGGATTCTGAATTGGAAGAAATTTCTGGTTCTAAAGACCGTACTTTCCATGTTAATGGTTTTGAGGATCTGAACACTCGTCTTCGTTCTGCTATCCAAAAGGTTGCCTGCCCACAGAGCGAAACTCCTGCTTCTAACGATAATGGTATGTGAATGAGTTATGCCTGTTTTCATTATCAACTTTAGGTCCATGCGATCCAAACGGTCACTCCGGTTGCGACCGTGCCCTCAACCAGGTCTGCATCGAGAAGAATGGACGCTTCTCTTGTGGATGTCCAGCTGGCTTCGAAGAGCATCCAGTTACTAGAGTAAAACTACCTCGTTCAATTAGTATAAAGCTATTGATAATTTAGGCCTGCGGAGGAGATGTTTGTAACCCAGAAATCGCCACTTCCTGCCCAGATCCAGAAATTTGTGAGAAAACTCCTTTCGGAAACTGGAGATGTACATGCCCAGCTGATCTTGGATTCAGAGATGCCCATACTGGTGTTTGCAGTATGTCTCACTTGTTCTACCTGATACTAATAGAACGATTTTAGAAATTGGTGGACCACCAACTGAAGAAGCTACTGATGAATGCAATCCAGGAGATTCCGCTACCTGTGGACCAAACGGACAATGCATCCGTGGACCCGGTGGAGAATTCGTTTGCCAATGCAGGTTGGAAGACATTTCCAAAACGAATTTTAAAATCTTGTAATTTCAGAGAAGGATTCGAGAAAAATCTCAAGTCTGGAAAGTGTCAAGAAGTTGGAACCTGTGATCCTTCCATCCCAGACTCCTGTGAAGTTCGTAAGAGGTACTGTGTATTTCAAAAATGTTATAGTAATTTGTTGTGTTTCTAGAGAGAAGTGTCTTCCTAACGGTCGTGGACTTTTCACTTGCCAATGTCCTCGTAACTTCAAGCGTCATCCTGTTACCGAAATTTGCTGTATGTTTCCTTTAAGTGAAATCTCTACTAATCATGTTTAGTGACTGACGAATGCGCTCTCGGATCTCACGATTGCGATCGTAATGCTCACTGTATTGATACCGACGAGTCTTACATCTGTACTTGCAACGCTGGTTTCTTGGACAGATCTCCAAATGAGAAAGTCAAGCCTGGACGTGTCTGCGAACAACGTATGCTTACATTGTAACTAAGGAGCTAAATTGAGTTTTTAGAAAGAAACGAATGTGCTGAAGGTCGTCATAACTGCTCTGCTAATGCTGAGTGTATCGATCTCCCTGATGGATTCCTCTGCAGATGCAAAGAAGGATACATTGATGTGTCACCAAATCCACATGTATTTGGCGGAGTCGCTTGCAAGGCTTTAGTTGATGAGTGTGCCAGTGATAGTTTGAACACATGCCACAACAATGCTCTCTGCATAGGTAAAAACATATTCATGAATATATCATGCTTGAGAGTTGTTTTTAGACACAAGAGATTCATACAAGTGTCAATGTAAGGAAGGATATGTTGATCATGATGAGCTCCGTAACCCAGGACGTGACTGTCGCAAACGTATGTGTTCTAAGCCATCTGCTAATCTTCATTAAATTATTTCAGTCAACCAAATCTGTGAAGGTGGAAAGCATGACTGTGATCGTAATGCTCGTTGCATTGAACGTGGTTCCAACGATTATGAATGTGTTTGTAACGCCGGATTTTTGGATAAGAGCCCTCTTCCACACCGCCCAGGTTTGTTGTTATATTCAACGGATTCACATGATTTGATTACGTCAATGACGTGGAAATGAAATGACGCGCATTATTTCTTTTTATATTCATTTTGAGCATTAAAACATCAAAGAGCGGTCGAACTCCATTCAATGCTTCTTTCTTATCTTTCAATCGTGAATAGTTCTTTGAATTGTAGGAAGACGTTGTTTGGAACAAATTTGCAATGATGATAAGAAGCACGATTGTCATACTGCTGCCATTTGTCAGGAAGTTGATACCCCAGAAAAATACACTTGTAAATGTCGCGACGGATATGTTGACAAGAGCCCCTTCAGACCCGGTATGCTATTTACGAATACAATCGAATATTACTGCTTATATACAGGACGTGAATGCGAGGAGCAAGTAAACGAATGCTTGGACGCTTCATTGAATGATTGCGATCCTGTAGCTACTTGCCGCGATCTTGACGATGGATACGAATGCAGTTGCCCAATCGGAACTAAAGACGTTTCCTCTGATGCCTCTAAGCCTGGAAGAAGTTGCTTCGGAGTAAGTTACTCTCACAGAAATCAAGCTTATCCGTTTTTCTAGCTTGTTGATGAATGCCGTGTACCTAACCTGAATAACTGTTCTCGATTCGCTTTATGTATCGATAAGGAAGAAGGATTCGAATGCAAATGCAAACCAGAGTACCACGATCAAGATCCAAGAAACCCAGGAACTAACTGCAAATTCAGTAAGTTTCACTGATACTTTGCAATCCAATTGCATTCATTTCAGTTATTAATGAATGCCAATCTGAGAACTTGAACGATTGTGATAGACATGCTGTTTGCATCGACACTGTTGAAGGTTATGAATGCAAATGCAACAACCCATACAAAGATATGCTTCCATCTAATCCAGGACGAGTATGCAGGTATAATAATCAAAAAATATGGAAAATCAGTTTCAATTATAGATTCAATGAATGTCTCGATCCTAAGGATAATGACTGTGATGCTAATGCTGATTGTGTCGATACTGATGACAGTTATCTTTGCCAATGTAAGACTGGATTCTTCGATGAAAGCACTGATCCAGCTACTGCCGGACGTGTTTGCGTTGGTGAGTAAAAATAAAAATCTAACAGGCGAAAGTTCGATGATCGTTCATGATGAAGCAATGTCTCATGAATGATTAGAGCTTCCGCCTCTTGCTATTCTGCCGATAATTGCCTTTTATATTTTGCTTTATCCTACAACTTGCCTGGGTTTGCTTCCGCAAAGATTGCTTTTTTGAGTTTTATTTTGAGTTATTTGGGTTACGGTGAACTGGCAGATTAGCGCAAGAAAACAACGTCGACGCTTCTTCGAGAATCATGTTGACTCGAATCGCTTCAGCTTCCATGTTATGAATGTTTTCTCATTTTAAGAATTAGGTCTCGTCATTGATAAGCCACAAGAAACTGAGCCAACTACTCTCTCTCCAAATCTCTTCGCCTGTGGAAACACATTGTGCAAGAAGGATTTACATGAAGTATAATTGCTTATAAGTCAACTTTCTCATATACATTTTGCCTAGGTCTGTATTGGCGGAGAGAAATGCGGTTGTCGCCCAGGAGAAGGCCGCTCCAGCCCTAGGGATATTTGTATTCCAGTGACTGAGGTAAATTCTTGTCCAAGGCATACATCCATCAATCTTTTAGGTTCCTCTCGTTGTCCGTGTTCTCGAATTCGACAACGAGCCACTTCATTATTCCAATGACTACAGCAAACCTGGAAGTTCCGGACATGTAGAAGTTGTTGAAAGCACAAAGAGTGTAAGTTTGACTTGACAGTAAAATCAAAGAAATTGAATCTTCAGGGACTCGGTGACATTCTGAAACATACCAGCTTTGCTCCTCGTTATGTCGCTACTGATGTCAAGTTCATCACCAATCCTAAGGTTGAAAACAGTACCTGGGATGGTGGACTTCTAGTCAACTCTTCCATTCTTCTTTCTGGAGATGATGATATCGATCGCTGCAAAGTACGGAAAATTCTTTAATACTCTCATGCAATATTAATTATAGGTCTTCCAAGAGTTTGCTGCTGAAGTTGTAGCTCGTGGTGGACGCATCGATCGCTTGAAGGCTGCTGACGATTTCAATCTTCTTGACCCCTGTCTTCCCGCACAACAAATTTCTGGAATCGCCTGTGGCAATACTTTCTGCAAAACTGAACTTGGAGAGGAATGCATTGCTGGAAAAATCTGTGGTTGCCCTAAGGGTCAGAAGAGAAAGAACTCTGAGAGCCAGTGCCGTATTGTAAGCAGTATCTTGTAAATGGGTTTTCTGATCACACTCATTGCAGGTTGAATCTTGGAACTTGCCATTATATGTTATTCGTGATAATCATGAATACATTGAGTACTCTCCTATGCTTAGCAATCCAAGAGAACCACTCTCTAAGAGTCTTGTTAACAGGTTATAAAACTCTGCAATTTCATTTAATTATATTTTCATTCAGATTTGAGAGCGGAGTCGCTGAAAGTTACGACCAGACTCCTCTTAAGAGCTCTTTCATCGTTGCAGAAGTTAATGACATTGAAAACCCCAAAGATCGCAATGTGGTGAGCATTAAATAAAAAATTAAAAGTATAAAAATTATAATTTAGTCATGGGATCACGGAATCCTTTATAACTTTACTAGTTACTTCGTGAAAGGAGGAGTTGCTGAGCCAAAGACAGTTTTCACTGATCTGATTGATTATATCGCTAAGAAGAACAACTATCAAGTAAGCTATTCTTCAAATTCAGAATATTCATATGCTATCAGGTTGGAACATCTAAACTCTTCATTTCTCCTGATCAAATGAATCCATTCTCCGCCTGTTACAAGAGTGATTGTCATCCATCCGCCATTTGCCGTGAAAACGGACATGGATTCACATGTGAATGTGCCAGCGGATATCGTGATTTGAATCCTTCAAAGCCAGGACGTGAATGTTTGAGCTATCGTGGTGTGAACGAATGTGAAAAGCCAGAGTTGAATGAATGCTCTCCTGATGCTCGCTGCATTGATTTGGAATATCTTTACAAGTAAGAATTCTTTTTTATCTTCGTTTAAATCATTATAAAAACAGATGCGAATGTATTCCTCCATACGTCAACGCTGCTACTGATGGTGCTGTCCCAGGAAGCGTTTGCTCCATTGATTATTGCTCCGATGTTAACTACTGTCCATTGAACTCTACTTGTCACAATGTAGATGAACAAGCTAGATGCGATTGCAAACCAGGCTTCGTCGATTTGCGCAAATCTGATCATCTTTCTGAGGTATCTTTCGAATTCTCGAATATTTCAAATAATCGCTTTCTAAGGCTGGACTCGGAGATTCTATCTGCCTCCGTAGCCAAGATGTTGACGAATGTGCCCTCGGACTCCACAACTGCTCAGCTGCTGCCATCTGTACTGATAAGAAGAACGGATATGAATGTGCTTGCCCAGAAGGGTACGTTACAGTAGAGAACATCTGAATTCAAATTATCTTTTTTTTCAGATATACCGATGGTAACCCATCTGAACCTGGACGCATTTGCGCTGCCTTGTTATGCGGTCTTTGCAATGGACATGGAGATTGTATCCATGACAGCTTGACCAACAATGTCACTTGCGCTTGTGTCGACGGATATTCAGGAGAATTCTGTGAAGTCGCTCCATCAAAGGCGGGACTCATTCTCATGCTTCTTCTGGCTCTTCTCTTCCTTCTCCTCACCCTTCTCTGCTGCTTGTGGCTGTGTGCCAGATGCAGATGCTTCGGTGGTCGCGGTGGCAGCGATGCCAGTGCTTCTGGTCAAGAAATACTAGGATCAGATTATTACACGATTCCAAGAGCTAAGCTGAAGCCATATGGAGATGAAATGGTTGGACATGACAACATTGGTGCATTACAAGCCTATCTCGATGATGGAGCTTCCATCTCATCAGACGGAACGCTAGAGGAGATCGAAAGACGAGTAGTTACAGATGTGACAACAAAGGAAATTCGAACAACCACCGTTCGTGATGAGCATGGAAACGTTATCAGCACAAGCCAAACAGTACATCATGGATCAGCTGATTCCGAATCCGAAGATAGTGAAACAGAAACGGAACAGTATGATGTAACAACATCCGATCATTATACACATACAACAAATCACCGTACCGTTCCTCCAACTTCATCATACAGCTACGAGGAAAAAAGCTATAACAGCTAAATAATACGCTCAATTCTACTTATATAAGCCTAGAGACTATAGAAATCTATTTTTATATTCCTTCCTGATTAGGAGATTGTGAATAGTCTTAATTATATTGTCAATCATCGTTTAACTATAATTATATAATCAGCCTTCAGCGATTTGATCAAACTGCGTGGTTCTCATCAGTCAAAAATTCCAAAAGAATTTTAAGTTAATGTTTCACAAAAACTCTTTTAAAACATCACAATTGTTTTTATTTTTTTTTATTTTTTACTTTTTTTTTCCGAAAAGTGTCATCATCATCTCAACTTCCTTGTTTCTTGTTCTCCTTTCTCATCTTCAGAAAGTTAATTGAAATGCATTTTAGTATTCGGTCGTAGACTCTTTCCCTCTTACTGCTTATACTTCTCTCTCTCTCTCTTTCTCTTTTCTCTCTCTCTATATTCATCATCATGTATCATATCATTTACAACATCGAAGTGTGTCCATATACTTTCTTATTCTTCATTCTTCATTTTCATGAAAAATTAAATAAAAATTCATAAAACTGTGTGCTATTTTCATTTTTTTTTCTTTTTTTTTTCTTTTCAACAAGTGGTGTGGGGTGTATGCATTGAATGGAAAAGAAGAGTTATCTGCCTTGTATGTATGTGTTGTTCTCTTTGCAATATTTTTATTGAAAAGGATTTGCTTTCATTTTCCTAAAAGAGAGATGCGTCTAATCCGTCTAATCTGTCCCTGTTTCTTGACTAATATACTATCTTTCACATATATTTTTATAAATATATGTATAAATATGAATACATCCATGACCATATCAGACAACGCCTTCGTATTCCATTGGCATGTGGATATGGATGTGTCTGTACACGGTGCTGGCGCCTTGTATGTGTGTGTTGATCTCACAAACACACACACACACCACACATACACCATACACATTTTGCAAATAACTATAACTTGTTATAAATATTAAAATAATATATATATATATATATATATAGCAATGAATTTGTATTTTGTGTCTGTCTCTGTGGATGTGTGTGCTTGCTTCAAGTTGGAAAAGGCTTGATGAGCCAATTTTTGCTTCTACCCACTCATTTTATAATATTTTTGCTTCTCGTTTTTACTTTTTTTTGCCATTTTTCAGAGTTTCAAACATTACGTGAAAGTATGGGCCACGTGTAATTTGTGTTTCTAGTCTTCTGCAGCGGAAGCTCAACAGCGGTTGGTTCTTTCAGCTTTTTTTTGTTCGTCGACTTTACGCTCCTCTTTCGGTACAAACCAATTTGATTTCTTTTTTTTTTCAAATTCTCTTCCCAAATTAATTTTATGAACTTTCTCATTTGAATGTCTTTTTGTGATGGAGAAGAGGAGAGAGGGAGGAGAGGAGGGTTGTCGATAGAGAGAGAAAGAGGAGGGAGGGGGGGGGGGGGGCAGTCCATGAAGAAAGAATGGCGATTTTTGATTCTTTCATATATAAGATTAGTGATGCCAAATAGAGATTTTGTTCGTTTTCGTTCACATAATCGGAGGTCTAGAAGTGATGTATCATAGTCTTAACTAACTATATCATATAGTTAGTCAGTCATTGTATGTTGAACTTGAAAAAGTAAAAAAAGTGAGTGAAAAGTGAGTAACGAGAGAGAGAGAGAGAGAGTGGGAAACACACGAAGAGATGATGATGGTAGCGAGGTACTGGATAATATTTTTTTTGTTCTTCTTTCAAGTTAATTGTTCAATTTGGTTATTGTTAGAAGTGGAAATCCTTCAAATATGGAAATGACACTCGAATATCAATAATTCATCTGATTGAACTATTTTTTCTTCTTTGTAACACGACAGAGAAACAAAGAAATATTTTGAAGTTTCAAAACATCTCAAGAGAATGTGAAACTATCAAGATTAAACCAAGAATTTTCTCTTCTCCCTTATTTCAATCTTTAACTTCGTCTCACCATCTTCTCAGAACCTCCTCCTCCTCCTTCTTCTTCTTCGTCTTCTCACACCCCACATCATCACCACCACCAACATCACTCTTCATTCACCTACCTCCTTTTACGCTTTTGAAACAAATTTTTGACTTCGTATTCTTCTTCTTCTTCGTCTTCGTCTTTTTTTAGAAAACTTTCAAAGTTTCATAGTTTATGTGAGACCTTTATGCTTGCTGAAGCAATCCTCTTCATCATCTGCTTCTTTTTCGTGTTCGTCTATAGTTCTTTCAAATTCTGATTCTGCTTCTCGTCCTGCTTCATTTTTCCTTCCTTTTTTTTCTTCTTCTTCTTCTCCTTCTTCTTGTTCTTGTTCAGCTTCTTCTTATTCTACACAAAATTTGTTCTCGTCACATTAATATGTTGAAAAAGAATTACTATAGCAGTCGAACATCTTCTTTTGTGTTTCGTGTGCTCTATTTGATCTCATATCATGTCTGCTAGCACATGTTTGAAAACGGCCGAACAAAATTCCATTTTGCAAGTTAAATTTAGTTCAACTTTTACTGCCGGGTTAATTTCTATAATTCATAAAGTTTTTCCTTATTCATCCAAGTGTCAAGCGATCGAAGAAGAGGGGTTGATGTCTTTTCTGTTGCCCTTTTATCTTCTTTTTATCCTCTCCCTCTCTTTTTAATTCTCTCTATCTCCGTTCTCGTCTACGTTTTCGTCTTCTTATGTTTCTCCCTCCCTCTTTCTCTTTTCATATTTCCCTCTCTCTTTCTCTCCATCTAACTCTCTTATTACTTCTTTTTTCATCTTTTACTCTCTATTTCTCTTCTTCTTACTCTTTGCTACTATTTATTATGTCTGCCACTACTCTCTCTCTCTCTCTAACTCTCTCTCTCATCGAACCATTTTCTACTTTCTCCTTCTACCAACCATTTCTTGATGTTTTAAGAAACAAAAACTAGATGAAAACAAGAGTATAGCCTAAAGTCAGACCACCAAGAGGCATATTTGTTCCAAAGTCTTCCATGGGCTCTGCTCGCCTGCTCAGGCACGCAGTTTCGTATCGATTCTGCTTCACAGCTTATCGTCGTCGCTGCCTTCGCGTCGTCAGCTTCAAAATGGCCGGTTGGCGTTGTTGCCGACGTTGACGACGACAACGACGACGACGACGACAGCGACGACGACTTGCAACTGCCGCATTCTATCTTGCTCTGTTTCCCTCTCCTATGCTTCTAGTTCTCTGTCATAGAGTTGTCTGGGGCAAAGCAATTGCTCTCCTTCTCTGGCTGTGAACCTAGCATCAACTCTTTCATATCTTTCTGCATCTGTCCTCTCTAAAGCTTTCATCTTTTCTTTTATCCATTTTCAGTATTCAGTAGTCGTACATGCACAAATGCATGTTCTCTTTCGTCTCTCTTTTGCTTTTCTTCATACTCTTGAAAACACATTCATCCAAAACCAAGCTTCACATTCATGAAGCTCTCTGTTTAAGCTTAAATGCTTCAGAATCATTCAAAGAGCATCATATCAATGCTCTTGTCCTACATAATTTTGTTTTGTTTTTTTTCTTTCATTGATATATCGTTTCATTCTGTGTGTATATGAATATGTTGTTGAGAATCATCTTCGTGTATGTGTATGTGTGTGTGTAGTATGTTGAGCTCTCTCTCTCTCTCTCTTTCTCCTGCTTAGCCATCTCCTTCTGCCATCATTCCCTATTTGGACAATTATTATTTCTAATCACTTGAGAGAGTTGCTTCTGCTTGTAGTATTTTCTTATTTTTGTACATCGTTATCGACAGCTACTTCATTAGAATTTCATTTTCGACGTTGTTTGACAAAAAAAAAGAAGGAAAATTGCAAAAAAAAAAAAAAAACGAATTCACATAACTCTTTCTCTCTCAATGACTCTCTCCATATGGATTTCTCTCTCTCTAGTTTCTCTCTCTCTCTCTCTTTACCATCTCTCTTTATATTACATGGTTAATAGAAAAGAAAACTTTATTCATCTAATCAAAAACCAAACGATTGCGACTTGTTGCCATTTGAATTACCTAATTTGGAGACATTCGACCACTTGTGAGTGTATTTCTCATCAATTTGCATGTTGACCTATGGTTGTCTCTCTCAATTTTCTTATTTGTTTCATCGGAAATTATTTTTTATTAACTATCATTATGTTATTTTCTCTTTTTTTTTTGTGTGTTGTTTCACATGTAAATTTGAATCTTTTTTTTTTCAACCAAACCCTCCCTCTTCCTCTTCTTTTCTCCTTCTCTAACATCCCTCACTCCTCTCTCTGTTACTCATCTCCTGTAACCATGTCTTTCTCTCTTTCACCTCCCTCCTCTCTCTATATCTTTCCTCCCTTCCAGCAGTTTGTTTCTCTCCTTATTTCAAACATTCCCTCTTTCCCTCATTCTTTTACTCTCTTATTCATATGCAGCTGTGTATTAAAAAAACTTTCTGAATCACAAAAGCTTCGCCTAACTATGCTAACTATTTACTGAATTGATCTTCTACCTTCTTCATTTCTTCATTGCTTTTCTGTTTTTTTCTCATTTTTACACTCCAATTAAGCGAAGGTTAAGATTTTAGATTAAAAAAAAATATTTTTTTTTCGTAAATTTAGCATATTTAATCTTTGAAATGATTTCGTTTCATTTTTCGCTTTTTGACATTCGTCCACCAGTCGTTCTCTCTCTCTCTCCCTCTATCTCCCTCTATCTCCCTCTCTATTCAACTCTCATACTACTATACTCTTTGTATTCATGATGAATTGGCCATGTGAGGTTTTTTTTCGATTTAAAAGATTTTCTATAAGCTATTTTACCCTATGTGAATGGATATTCTATTGGGCCTTCCTCTGTCATTCTGCATTTCCACGTCAAAATGTTCACGTAAAACGCATTTAATCTCAACAGCAGACTGAGTGAGCGGTTGTGTGTATGCGTGTATGTGTGTGTGTGTCTGTGTTGTGTTGTGTTGTCTTCTTCCTCTTATTTTGTTTCTATCAATGGTTGCGGATTAGCTGAAAGTACTAATTTTGATGAATAATTTGATCTTTTTGCTTATTTCTTATCATCTTGACGTAGAACATATAATCCCGTGAAAATCATTTGATAATCGTCTCAAGATAAATACATTTTTTATTCCTTTAAATCATACTCCCTCCTTCATTCTAGCCTTGTCTCTCTCTCTTACTCTCCCTCTCTCTCTATCTCTCTCTCTCTCTCTCTCGTTTAATACCACACCCAATATGTCCTTCATATCTCTTTTTCTTTATTCTCTCTCTCTTTCGCTTATAACATCTATAATTCTCTTTCATTCTTTTTTTTTTGTCCGCCTTCTCTCCCACCTCACCAACCTTGCTATCGTTCTATCTACCTCTCTCTCTATGCAAGCTCATGTATGTCGATTGACTCTCGTAGTTCCTCCTCTTAATGTTCTTCCTTAGTGTTTCTTCCTGTATACCTACATTCTCACACCTATCTCTCTCGTGCTACATGTTAAGCTCTCTTCGTTTATTTAAAAATTCTTCTCTTTCAAATGATTCAAATGATGTCATTCTGATCTACACTTTGACTTCCTTCTAAAGCATAAACCCTCCCTCTCTAGCATTATCTTTCTCATTCCCTCCCTCTATTCCTCTTTTCCTTTCTGCTCTCCCTCTTACTTCCTCTCATCCATCCAATTTCTAACTTCCTAATGAAACATATTATAATGTATATGTAATGAGAGATGAATCAGTCTATTGTTCCTTCATCTCAACATATAGTTAAGATAATAATCTTTTTCATTATATTTTATATTTTTGATGCTTAAATGTGAGGTACAAGTTATGAGAAGCTTGCTTACATCATGAATCATCATCTGGCAAGATTTAAATCTCACTTCATCATGACGTCATTGTTTCCCGAATCTTCTCGTAACCGGTTCATTCATAATTTGAATCATTTCATCCTTAACCTGTTGTAATGTAGTAGATTTCATGTTTCTCATCTACATTCTTGCACATTTCGCCTCAGGGTAAACAATTGCTTATGATGACCTTGAATTTTAATTTTTTTTTTAACTCTCTACAAATATCTGTGATGTCTATGTGGGCTCTCGTCGTCATTCTCCCTCTTCATCCATTCCACCCTCACATACTGTTCCAAAACGTTTTTTCGATTCCAAAAGAGCATCAAGATAACAGTGTGCGTGACCTTTTCAAGAAATTCTAGTTTTTTGTCCGACTCAAAAGTTCGTTGTGAATTATATTTGCATCATCTAGCCATATTTATATATAATTTTTAATTGCAATATATCATATGTCCTTTAGTTAAACGGATTCAACTTGGATTACAGTTCATGATTTTTCATTTCTTTTTTTGCGTTTGGAACCACCAGTACTAGCGGATGCATGATGCTAGCTGCTGCACACAATCTCCGACCAGCCTCTTGCATTCTCACATACCGTCATCACAACCAACCACCCCCCATTTCTGCCACCACCCACTTGTACCGCCAACACAGCCGTTCACATCCTCTATCAGTTTGTCTATTTGATTATTCTAATTAGTTGTGGTTGACGGTAGTAGCTATCATCATGTACTCAGTTCACGCATATCACTAGGCCTATTCACGTACACTGTTGTTGTTGACAAAGTAATCAGTTAAAAAATAACAACTTGTTGTTTAACTGATTACAGTTCCCGTGATGAGCTCAGAGTCAGATATTCGTGAATCATATGTCTCTCCATATCTCTCTCTCTCTCCCTCTCTCTCTCTCTCTCTCTCTCTCTCTCTTTCTCTCTCAACAGCCACTCCACCCAAAACTTTATTTTTCTTTCTTTTTTTTATTGTTTAATAATATTTAAACTTCATCGATATATAAGTATGAATTTTCAGTTTTCATTCTGTTTCAACTAAAATCTGCCGCGTTGACGTCTTCTATTCTCAGCTCATCTACATTGGTTATTACAAATAACAACGTGGCGCCACCAGAAGTAGCGAAAATAAATCGAAAGCCGTTAATTAAAGTATTTTAATTATATTCATATAGTTATATATATATATATATTAGCATAATCAATAATATATACTCTACATCTAACTTTCATATATACTTTATAGGATGTAAAAGCTAAAACAACAATGGGTGAAGACCCGGGACGTGAAGAGCGTAACCTGCTGGCACGTCAAGATGCTTCCGTTTCCAGTCGTCGCAGCCCACTCGGTCGTTACAATCGGTTAGTTGTATATGATTTGATTATCTAATTCACATATAGCTGCATGTGTGGGTATGTATGCTTCCAACGAAAACTCTTTTGAAACTCTTTTGTGATAATGTTCAAAGAATGACGTGAGAATAATGATTAAGACTGTTAGTAACGTATCTAAAAGATACATAAAATTCTCCAGATATGTATGCTCTTCCTGTAATTGTGTCGGTGTTTGATAAGACAAAACGATTTTTTTATATCAAATTTCCTAACGAAATTGCTTTAAAAGCTCATTTCGATCTGACATTTGTTTGATGTTTAAATAATATTTGGACGAACTATAAATGGTGTAATAGGTTATGAATTTGAAACTATATAAGACAATCATAGTATCATCTGTTCATGCTTCATCTAGTTGATAAATAGCTTGAAGTAAGCGGATGCATGTGTGGGTTGCTGCTTAACAACATCTCGTCATTCACATACCTGCTCTATATATATACTCACACTCTACTACATCACCAGACTCAGCAGACTGTTTTTGAGATACAAAATGCAAATGAATCAAAATAATGAGATGAAGCTTCCCCTTATTTTTCCTTCATCTTCCACTCTGCTGTATATGGCATTATGTTAACTCTTTGACTGATCCGATTGCACCGCTGTCCAGTTTTCAGTTCATCGCCAATGCGCATCGTCAGCCGGAATTTCCTTTTCTTTCTTTTTTCTTTCTTTTTTTTTCTCTTCTTTGGTTGAAACAAAAATACATTTTGTCTTCTCTTATACACGCAGTAGCTTCATTTATCTTTAAGTCCTGTTTCTCTATTTTGTTCTTTAACAAATGACTGACTCTCTCTAGCTCTCTCTCTCTCTCTCTATTATTCTGTTGCTCGCACTCTTCTCTCATTTTCCCTCTCGACTCCTCTTACATTACCTGTCACCTAATGTGTGTATGTGTGTGTGTATGTGTGCAAACACCTCACCCAGAATGGAATACAAAAGGAATTTCCCAACTCGGCTCACTTCCTTCATTTAGCGCTTGACTTTTTGTTTCCAAAAATTTTTGACTGATCAAGTATCATCGTTTGATTGATAAGGATAGGTAGAGCTGATTGCGAAGCTTAAAACAACCTTTGTGTGGTTGTATCGAATTCGTTAATTGAATTATTGTCATGCTTGTCAGTTACTATATGTTATCGTTTAAGTAATGCTTTGAACATATGATAAGATACCATGTACGCTCTACCTGACCCTCTCAACTAACAATCCTCTTCCCTCAATCATGGGGAAGGGATTTTAACTTGTTTTTACCTGTTCAACATGTTCAAACGATACTAAATTTCATTGATTTTTTTGCTTTCATATATTATTTCATCATTCCTCTCCTCTTCTTCATATTCATTTTTGGGCAAAAAGAATTTCTGTAAGTGATGATGACTTTATTCGTTCCTGTTTCGCACCAACCTCGAAAATTCGTTAATCGATCGGGCAAACAACGACTTAGGACGTCGTCATTTTTCATATTCAGATGTTTGACTGTGCAAGGAAAAGATGAAAGAAAAATCTCAGTTTCATCATGTTCGTCCTCTTCTTCTTCTTGTTCATTACCTCACCTCATCACTTACACGCTTCTCATTTCTTATTGATGTTGTTGATGTTGTTGTTGTTATCATTGTGTGATCCCTCTTTTCAAGAATTACTTACTATGCTAACTGTTCTTGCTATCGTTCGTACTGATCATTTACATTTTTTGAAGAAACTGGATGTTGATGCCATCACCTGTTTCGGAATACTGTTCAAACGATATACATGATGAGTATAAACGGCCACGCAAAGTTGTATCAATTTTGAATTATCGTGGAAGTGAGGATGATGTTGATCATCTTGCTTCTAATCGTAATCAACGTTCAACACCCTCATCAGCTGGAAGTATATCCAATGATGTTATAAAAGCTCTTGTAAACTGTACAATTGAACGTCCCACCCGTCTAAATATGGATATGAATAGAATAATGGAAGATGCTCAAGACATCTATCAGACCACACCGATGGTCGGCTCCGATTCGTAAGTTATAATTCCAATGGTTATAAACGAGAGTATTCTCTACCTTTCAAGTTGTATCACAAGGAAAGAGAGAGAGAGAGAGAGAGTAGCAGAGAGAGAGAGAGAAAGAGAAAGAGTAAGGGGGACTATTCGTTGTTATTCCATTCTGAAACAGAGAACGAAAAAAAAAAAGTTTTTTTTGTTCCATAAAACTAATAACCTGATCGCTTCTATCTCTCATTCAAATCTTTTTGTTTTGTTTCCTATTTCCTAAAAATACTTTTTGGCTCACGTTACCATTCTCTTTGCCAGCCCTCCTTCTTTTCATTTCCATTTTAACCCTTCAATTTAACTTTTCACAAATTATAATTTTCAATGCTAATTCAGTGTGGGATTGAAATGAGTGTTACTGCTCTGCTGACTGGCCATCAGATGCCTTTGACTTTCATTTCGTCTCAAACATTCTGATCTTTAAATGATTTTTTTAAAAGAATGAAGTGTCGGAATGTTAAGTAAACATCTCCAGTTCGTTCTCTCTAACTCTTTCTCTTCGTTCCATCCTGAAGCAATGAAAGGAAGTCAAGCTTCTGCTTCCTCTTCTCCGATTCGTCTTCTACTTCTTCTCTCTCTCTAAGATCCCCTCTTAAATGTTTTTTCTTTAATTATTCTCACATTTCTAAGAAGTATTTTGGCTTTTCATTGCACACACATTGCTTTGTTTTTCTTTTAAAACAAAAAAAAAGGAGAAAAAAATTTTTTTTCTTCTTCTTTGCTCTCATCCCCCTCTTAGAGCGTTGAAACTTGTAATTTGCATTTAAGCCTTCTGGACTATTGATTAGTGATGTAATTGAGCAGAAGACGTCCGATTTTTGACGTCGAAGTAGATGTGTTTGCTTGAAATGAACAAGATAATTGATGTAAAACGTAATTGTTCAATCAATTATGAAATACTCTTTTGATTGAATTGAAAAAGACTTTTCTGTAAGTTTAAGAAGACACACACAGCCCATACACACACATACACACGCAGGCAGGCGGGCAGTAGGTTTCTTCTGATTGTTTTGTCTTTTTAAAAAAGTCTTCGTAACTGATGATGACACATGAAGAGAAGCTTCTCTTGTGATTCATTCTACTTCTATTCCTGCTGCCGCTGATGTTGCTGCGGCGGCTGCCCTCTTCCTCCTCCTTTTCAATGTTTTCTTTATTTTTTTCTTTTTCTTTTTAAAATTTTACTCATTCTGCTCTTTTAACTTACTCAAACCATCACTTTGCTTCTGCTTGCCATCTCCATTGAATGACAGAAACAACTCAGATGTTGTTAGATGGCTCATAACTCTTTGTTCGCTAGCCTCTTCTTTGACTTTCGACTTGTTCTAATCAAAAGAAATATTTATGAAAAAAAAATGATTCATCTCCTTCCCGTCTTCCTTTCCACCTCTCTCCGAACTGTAATACATACGCATACAGAGAGAGAGAGAGGTAACATTCCAATGATCAATGTGCTGATGCGAAGGAATACGAAGGTTACTTGTGATCCTTTTACTTCTCATAATCCTTCCTCACACATACCCCACACACACACACACACCTCATTCATACTTCTTGCACCTCTTTTTTCTTTCTTTTTCTCTTCCTTCATCTGAATTAGAATGTATATGTATTTGATTGCTCATATACATCATGTCGACACCCAACATCACATAGCATGTCTTCTGGTATTTTTGAAATGAATTCCAAGCATTTTTGACTGAAATTACATGCTTCTCCCCCTCACCTCCTCTCCCCCCATCCTTATCGCGCCTCACAGGCACAACCACATACACACACACACATACACACATACACAGACACATGCAGAAGCTTCAAATCAATACAACTGGTGTTCGTTAATTATATGCGAATTATAATATTCATATCCCCTATTTTGGATGTTTTTTATGCTAAAAAAAAAACGGAAAAATTTCCAAAAATTAACCGGTCAAAAACTTTCCAAATTGAACTAAAAACACCTTATTTCATGTTTTTATGAAAACACAACTTCTCTCTCTCTCTATCTCCCTGTTACCCTCTCTCTCTCTCCTTCTCTCTCTATATATACTTGTATATATTACTTCTTTTATATCTATGTTTCTACCTCCCTCTCTATCTTCCTGCTTCTTCCGTCCTTTCTCTCTCTATTTCTTTATTTCCCTTTCTACCTTCCTCTCTCTTCTCTCTCTCTCTCTCTCTCTCTTTCTGGATTCATTTATGTATCATCTAGAATCAGAATGATACAAATAGTTTTGTTATTTTTAAAAAAAAGTATATTTTCTAATTAGAAATACATCTATTGATTTGCGGCTTCTTTCTTATTATTGTTTTTCCATTACCTGTCATCAACATGATCATCAGTACCATTTCATCATCTTGTCATCAATCCTTCCAACTCCGTGTTTATCATTTCCGGAATTCTGTATCTGATCCTGTTATCAGTCATGTTGCATTCATTCATGAAGTTTGATAATGAGCTCACGTGTGTACAAGCTCTCGCTTTCAACATACGTTAATTTCATTTTGAGGTGGTATGATGCGTAAAGAGCGGTGGTATTATTTTTTTTTGTTTCTCCATACACACATAGCCTTTCTCTCTTTCTCTCTGTTTTTCTCTCTCATGCCTCTCGCCATGCCTATACTCACCATTTTCATTTTCAACATCCTTCTCGCACCCTTCTGTCTCTCTCATTTGCTCTCTCTCTACAGCCTATCTCTCTCTTTTCGTTCCCTCCTCCATTTTACTCTTATAAATACTTGGCTCAAAAGACCCAAGACCGCATGTCTGCCAATTGGATGTCTCTGTGCCTAATTTGAGCATTTTTTTGTGTCTGCAAGAAATCTGAGAATACTTTATTCGTTTATTCAATATCACCTAATGTCTTCTATTAATAGTCAAATTGAAGATATACGTACAATGAGGTCAAAGAATATTCATAATTTGATAATCAGGTTTGATTTATAAACAGCTTTATATATTGTAAAAAGCCATTTTTGTCAATGAGAGCTGCCTAACAAGGCGTTATGCTATTCGGGAGGGCATGCTTCGGCTTGTTTCTCTCTCTCACTTCATACACTTGAACATACGTTCTATGTATATGATAAAGATGCTGACGACAACGACGACAACGAGTACAACCACAATGAACACACACACACACCATTATATTCAAATTTCCTTTTTTTTAAATTTCCTATTGTGAGCTTCTCTTCTCCATGTCGATTGGCCATTTAAGCTCAATCTCAACGTTGCTCTGCCTCTTTATTATTTTGCCTCCGCTCTTTCATTTTTTCATTTTTGTCTCTTCAAAAATCAAAAGTCATCGGATATTTGAATTGAAAAATGAAAATTTGTAGTTTGAGCTTCACATAATACATCTCTAATGCATCTTAGAGCTATATTTTACAAAGGCGAACAAAATGCTAATTTGAAAAAAAAAAGAGAAAGCGAAAGAAAGACTTGCTAGAAGCAAGTAGAAGACGAAGAAGAAGAAGAAGAAGAAGCAAATCTTATAAAACAAATTATTCTTCCATTTTCTGCTTGAAAACTAAAAAGCAGCTAACAGTGTTAAAGAGAGAGAGATAGATAGATCAAGAGAGAGACATAGATAGATCAAGAGACAGAAAGAGAGAAAGAGGTTCAAAAGTACGAATAAATGTAATGTTGGTAAAGAATACCCTCGGAGCCTCTCCTAAAAGGAATTAATTTCAAACAAATCACATGAAAATGACATTCTGCCTTCATTCACATTCTCATTTTCAGAACTGATGACCTTTGGCTGGAGCTGGATGATGATGAGTGCTCCGAAGATTCAACATCTATTATGACACCAAACAGCCTTCGTACACCAGCTATCTCATTGCCACAAATTCCACCAAAAAGTGCTCCACCATGTCCTCAGGTACGATAATACTAATCGGTTGATGAAAGCACAATGCTCATATTCAATATGCACATGATATGATAGACATCATTATATATCTTTTAGTATAATGCTGTTAACAATCATAGCAATGGTGATGCTACAACGTCTTCGCAAGGTGGAACTCCCTTAATACTTCGACATGAATCTCTATTGAAGCCTGAAGAACTTCGTCCAGACTATTCTAAAACGGACGATACCAATTATTGCAATTACAATGGGAAGACAGGCCTTGTAAGTCCTTTTATTCTATAGTCTATCTCTCTATCTCTATCTCTCTTCACCTCAATTGCCTGTCTCCATTTCTTCATCAACCTCTCTATCATTCATTTCCTGTCTCCATCTCTCTGTCTCTCCTTTTCCATCTCTTCTAACTTTGAGTAAGATAATCGGCTTATTGTTTGAAGTAAACAAAGCTTTTCAATGTTAAAAAAAATTTGTAAATTGAATTGAAATCGAAGAAGTTTCCATTTGAGATGTGATATGTGTTTCCAAGTGAATTTTCTACAGCCTCACACACACACAATCTCTCGTTGTCTCCTTGTGCCTTCATCTTCTACTTCCAGCTTGTCATTGAGAATCTTTGAAAAAGTCTCCTCCAATCGATTTCGGACAAAAAAATTTCTTTTTTTGTCCTGTCATTTTTCCTCTTTGGTTTATTTTTTTTCATTTGCTCCTTTACTGCTTCTCTCTCTATCTCTCCAACTCTCTCTCTCTCTCTGTGTGTGCCGTCGACAGAAGAAAATGCATTTCTTGCTTACTCTTTTTATATTTTTAAAACGTTTAGCCAATATTGGAAATTGTCAATTACATTTTTGGAATGCTTAATGAAAGCCCTGAGGGCATTGGATAACCTGAGGGCATTGGCATTGACAAAGTTTCCTTTTTTGGATGATGCAGGGATATAAAAAGCAAAAATGAGAAAGGCAACTCTATCCATATGAGGAAGATGAAAGTGAAGAAGCAAAAAAACGTCTGCTCTATCTATCATTTTCGTATTGATTTCGTAAAGTTTTCGTAAGATTTCAAAATTGACAATGTCTCATAGGTTAGAGATATTGCAAATCTGATGAATAGATATACATATAGAGAGAGAGACAGATAGAGAGACGAAACTGATATTCGACTCTCCAATCCCTGTCTTTCCATTACTCGAAAGGATGTTGACAGTTCCAATGATCCCCCGTCTTCTTCTTCAAAGATGTTACTTCTTCCGTTTTGCAACTTCACGCTTCTGTATCGCTCGACCCGCTCTTCTCTCTCTCTCTCTCTGTTCTTCTCCTGGATTGGCTTGTTCAATTTCCATTAACAACTTTTCGAGTTTTCTTTTCATTCTCCTTTTTTGTTGGTGTTGAAGTCAGTGACGTCAGCAATCTCGTTAAAGAAAATTGGCCAAATAAGTCTTTAACAGTGTGTATGTGATGTGATAAAACTGTTAAAGAAGATAATGAACGAGAGTGATTCTAATTTTTTTCGATTCAAAGTTTTTAATTTTTGGTTTCTTTATCTTCTTAAGCCCAATCTATGAAAATCTCTTCACTTAGCTTACATTTCGATTTCTCAATCTCAGTTTCTTTCTCTCTCTCTCTCTCTCTTTCTCTCTTACTCTTCTTTATCCCTCTCTTCCTCTGTCTTCCCTCTCTGTATATCATTCTCTTTCTTTCTATTTCCGTTTTTTTTTCATTCAATTTAAAAGAATGAAACCTTATATAGTTGTTAGCTGTCATTGCGATTATAACTGAACTACCATTTAAGGGTGCAAGTGAGAGGAGTCTTCAACAATCCTTATCAACACCTAATCCTCAAGAAACAATGACACAGCGGAAAGATTCTGAATATCGAAGATTCAAAGTAGGTTTTTCCCAATATTTTTCTTTGTCAAGGTTTTTTTTTGTTCCTATTGTTTGAACAAATAATTTTTGAGAGATTATTCGTGATTGACGTCATCAGATGCCTATTTATAATATTAAAAATATCAAAAACTTCTGTGATAGTTATAGAAATTTTGATAAATAGATGATATACAAGATTGTAATGAAGATATGCAAATTATCTGATTATCATTATTTTAGTCAGAAGGTTCAGCTGCTGGAAGCTTACCAGCAGGCCCGGAAATGGATATGGATGGTGAACTATCTCCTATAGCTGATCGATCATCTCCTCCTCATCGCTTCAATCTCATTCAGGTATGTTCAGAAAAATAATTTTTAATAATCATTAAGTATATAAGTATCTATACTAATCTAATGATTGTGAGAGATAGAATGTTACAAGCTAAGATATGTGTGGCCAGATGTTGAATATGAAACTACATGCTCATCTCATAATGCTCCAAAGATTTGCATAACGAGCATTAAAGCTGCAGCTAAAAAGATAAAGCTCTTCTCAATCTCAGTTGCTGTTCAATTTGCAAATGGTGTGTAGTCACAAGAAGAGCAGGCAAGAGTTTGAGGATGTGAGGGGGAGAAGAACACACCCAAGGCATGGAGGGGGAAGAGGAGGAGGGATTTTCTCTCCTTTTTTTTCTGATTTTTTATTTCAAGAAAGGAAGGCTCTGCAAGTTTCAAACAAAATATTTTGTTTTTGCGTCTGACCTTTCTTTGAATGAAAATGATCCGTTTTGCGTTTTTCTCATCGTTATCATAACAAAGCTAATGTGCCGCAGGCGATTGCTATGGCATCTATGCTTCTGCTCTTCATCTTGATCCATGAACAAGGAAGAAATATTATTTTTATTAACTGAAACTTTTATTTTTGTTTAACAACAAGAAGCAAGCAGGAGCATCAGCAATATATATGCAAAGATGTAGGAGGATAGAGAGAGAGAGAGAGAGAAATAGCAGAGCAGAGCAGAGAAAGGAAGTGAAAAGAAATGTGGAGGTGGCTAGGCAGACAACTAGCAAATTACTGAATAAAAGGAATTCTTGAGAACTTTTAATAAATTGTTATTCTGATGCCTCTCTCATTCCTTCCTTCCCACCTATCAATCTTTTCTCCAAGTCTCTCCTTCTCTATTTCTGTCTCTCTGTCTCTTGTGCTCATATATGTACATTCCTCTCTCTACCAGTAGTAGTAGGAATGACTTCTGTAAGCCTATAATAGCTGAGCGACGACGATGACAACGATGACAAAAAGAAAAAAAAAGAAAATGAGCCAGCATACGGTAACCAATCCTGTCGCATACAATACTCACTCCAAAAATACTTTTATCCTTTCAATTATTTTTATTTCTTTTTATTGAATTAGAAAACCCTCTCTCTCTCATATTTTTTTTGTTGGTGTTCATTTTTATTTTCTTTTTTTTTCTTGCTCTTCTGCTCTTGTTCTCATTCTCTCTCAATCGTTCAATCTCCTTTGATGTTAGCGCCGTCGAATGTCGTTTTTATTACATTTTTTGGGTGTTTTTCTTCAGTTATAAGCTGATATGATAATAAGTGATCATTCATCTATTTCTCATCAATTGGATGTTCAATATATGGAAATCAATGTGATTACCTCTGATGAGAGCAGCAGTGATAGTACAACAACACCAACATCAACATCAACAACAACAACATGCCAATCTGTATTCTGTGTTGATACATCTGATAAACGATGTCTTCATCAACGTTTAGTACAGGTAGTTAGTTGAGATGCCCCCCGATGTCTTCCTCTTCTTCACCTTTCTATACTTCAACTCTATCATTCTATAGGTTTCTCTCTTAACAATCACGTATACCGTATTCCGGATTTTTTTGGGCTTTTTTTGATTGTAGAATCTGTCTATTAGGATTTTTCCTTTTCTTTTTATGGATTTCAATTGTATTGAGAGATATACAGTATTCTGAAATGGAAAGGACCAGATTTCATTTTAAATCTGTACCTAATCGGAGTTAAAAGAGGACACACGGAGTAATAACGAAATGAAGTGAAATGTATGTGAGACATAGAGAGAGAGAGAGTAAAAGAGAATATAGGTAGGTAGACATTAAGAGAGAAACAGTCATAGAGAGATAGATGAAGTGAACAACGAGATTGATACCGGTAGGACAAAATCAAAAGACTAGATGTGTAGATGATAATAGAGAGAGAGAGAGAGAGAAAGAGAAAGAGAGTAACACAGAGAGAGAGAGAGATGTAGAAAATGAAAATTTGGAAAAGAAAATAAAAAAAATGATTACGTCACGAACAGTTCAATTTTTGATTTATTAAAGAACAAAGAATAACTTGTTACAGCAAGATTCGGTTGTGAATGGAGGTCCCATCTCGAAACAGTCAAATACGGAGCAAGTACTAATGATGCATACATTGAAGACGAAACTTAGTAAATATCAATCATTCATTGATAAAGCTCTATCACATATACGTAGTGATGTTGATGATCATATAGTTGAGGTATGAAGAGAAGATCTATCTTATATCATATAAGATTAACTATCTAAGGGATGTACTATAATAGCCAAGGTTATGTCAAAAGCATGGATGATACCCAAAGTATCTCATGATCTATCAACAGCTTTATGTGATTATCTACGTGATCAAACATATCTTGATATATTAATTAAATTATTCATTAATACAACAACATCTGAACCAGGTATAGGTGCAGCTTCATCCTTCTTGCTCATCATCAATTTGATTTGCAGTACGATTAGCAGCTGGACGAGTATTAGAAGATTGCATGTTGTTAAGTAATCGCGAATATTTAGTTAATAAGGTATATTATATAATTTATATACTAATAGTTAACGCATATCATCTCTCTATAGGGTTGGCTGAAGAAGCTTGTAGGAATGGCTATGAAGCTTAATAAGAACGGTGAACAACAACGAATGAGCTTAAGCATAATGGAAAAGATGTTAAAACATTCTAATAGCACATCTCTAAGGTAACACATATACTATATCATATAGTTAACTATAATATACCTTATTTTCAGCTTAATTGAATATGGAGTACTAGATCATATCTTATTAACATGTAAACGTGAAAAGGATACACCTATCACATTGCGTCATGCAGCTTTAGCCTTATGTAATTTATGTTTATATTCATGTAGTGAAGGTAAAAAGAAAATTATTAGTAAAAAGGTATTGTTTATGCTATCTCTTACTAACTATATCATATAATCATTTCACAGGTTCCTGAATGGCTCTTCCTACTAGCTACACAAGCTGATGAACTTACACGCTATTATGCCTGTCTCGCTATATCTGTTGTTGCTAGTGCTAAGGTGAGCGTCACTATTAAGCTTATTATATTATATGTTTTATAATTGATCCTATTAATACTGTATACGTAATATATGCTAACTATATGTATGAGTATGATGGAGTTCAAATAGAAATCATATGATCTTTGGAATTATATTCATCTCTTAAAATATCTTTTTGTTTTTGAGTTCAATATGGAAGAATCAGTTAGGAGTGTCACAGAGAGAGAGAGAGAGAGAGAGAATGAGATGAAGAGAGAGAGATGGAAGAGTACGTATGCAACCGTTTGACGACTAACAAGCTTACTTAAATGATAGTCTTATTCATATCTCACGTAACTGTGACGTCGTTTTTACGTAATTCTCACGTAATCTCATGCTTACGTGAAACGGTTGACTGTCAAAGCATGTGCAAAGGGGAAGTAGTTAGTTGCCGATTAATAACTTGTTATGTTTATTCTTTCAAACAAAGTTGAGATTATGAATGAGAAAAGGAAGAAAATTTTAAAAGTTAAGCTTCAAAGGATTATCTTATTTTAAAAATGAAAAAAATAAGAAAAAAATAGAGAAAAGGAGAAGAAGCTGGAAGTAAGATGAAGAAAAAGAAGAAGCTGGATGTGAGATGTAGAAGAAGGAGATGAAGATGAAGCTATAAAGAAAAATGAAATCAAAGATATGATTATGATGATGATGATGTTGATAACAACAATTGAAATTCTTATTTTACAGGAAATCGGCTTGGCCCTCAATTGCTCAGATACATTAGCATTAGTTGAACCATTTTTGAATGCTCATCCACCATTATCATTTTCCGAATATCATTATAAGCATTCACAAGGAGAGCCGAAGGAATGGCTTGAAAGGTAAATCCATTTGACTTTTTTCTCTTTCATTTACAATACCATATGTGTGTGTCTGTGTATGAGTGCGTGAGTGTGTGTATGTGTGTGTGTGTGTGATGGGGAGTATGCGTAGAGCAGACATAGATATCAACTGCTTATATGGTTTCTTGAAATTATCACCGAAAAACCATTATGGTGAGATGCTTATCATATCGACGATGATGATCGTATGTTAGTCGTAAGCTGTAATGCTCATGAACATGCCAGCAACAAGCTTCTATTCAAGAGCTTAAATTTTTAATTTCATTCATTTTCTTTTTTCAATCTTTTCCAAAAAAGATTACAAAAATGATTTTTGTGTGCTTAGATGAGAAAGCATTGTAATTGAATATTATAATTATAAGATTAAACTATATTATATTCCGTTATAGTATAAGGCAAAGAAGAAATGCATTCAAAGCTACACACTCTATGATAGACAGCCTTGTTTGATAACTTTGCGTGCATGGCACGTGAAATATAAGTGAAACTAGTGTCTGAGACAGAAATGAGGAAATGAATACAAAGAGAGTGAGAGAAAAGAGATAATGAGAGGTAGGAGAACAAGGAAGGTATGGTATGTGCAAGGACTAGACGATGAAAATACTGGAAAAACCCCTCTTACGCATACTCTCTCTCTCTCTCTTAGTCTCTTCCAGATTGTTATGATGATGAATCACCAAAATCCTATGTGGTTCATACTTGATGCTTACATGTTTTCAGATTACTTCCAATATTCAAATCAGCTAAGCGTGAAGCTCACAGTGCAGCAGCTTATCACTTTACTATGGAAGCTGTTATAAAGAAGAATCAGAACAAGTTGGAAGTATTTCAAGTACGTTCCTTTATACATATTCATTTATAAAATACCAATCATAACCATATATGTGCATACAATCTGATTCCGATAAACTCAAAGACTAAAGAAAAACGGATTCATTTATGTTTGTTTTTAATTCTCTTTTTAATATTTGATAAGGCGATAAGCTTAAATGATTATGATGATTAATAATCAATTGTTAATCGTTCTGATAGAGCCACACCTTCATTCCGTTATTATTAGATTAGATGTATAGTTAAGCAATGACATTTGTAACTAATTCACTTTTTCACGTACCATATGGTATGGTTATCTCGTACAGGTGTGTATGTGTACATAGACAGACACACATGCTCTTACAACATGCTGTCTTTGCAGATTAGACTCTATTCTGAGTTCTATCTTTCTCTCATACTCTTACTCTCTATCATTCAGTCTTTACTATCTATGTAATGAGAGATATGAATCTTGAACTGCAATATGCTAATTTGATCATTTGCTCTTAAACATCTGATTAGAGGACTGATAGGAAATGAATTTCATTTTATCTCATAAAAATGTATCAAAAAAGTACATAGAAGGTATGAAAGTAATATGAAAGAAGCTTAAACTGTCAGCAAATCAGCTGATTATGCATTCAGCTTCATCTTACTTTCATTCTCTTTTGCATTGTAATGATAATTGGAGCTGTTATAATCACATATCTGTGTGTAAGTATGTGTGTATGATAGATGCAACATGGCCATCAGAGAATTTGTAATCTTCTCTGGACTTAGACAGTTCCTGGTTTGACTTTCCCTCTATCTTTCATTCCCTTTCAAACTCTCTCATACTATTGCTATCTCTCTTTCTCTTTCTCTCTTTGAATCGCCCCTTCTGCAAATTATCGCCTACGTAATTCCCTTCTCCTTGAAACAGAGTATCAGCATGTTAAGCTGTGTTATTCCAATCAGTTGGAGCAAATGAAAACATGCTGATAGCTACATCGATGTGCGAATATGAAAGATGCACAAAAAGAAAATGAATCCCTTCTGATGTTACCTTCTCCTTCTTCTTCCCCTCATCCATTGATGCAGTCGTTTGCTACTGCTGATGATGATCTTCTTCTTCTTCTTTCATCATCTGAATTGCTCTCAATAGAAGATGATCAGGTGTATTCTATACCGTTTTTTAATAATATTTTGAGATGCTCACCAAATATAGTCTGGTTTATTCTATTTATAACCATTCTATTATTCAATAACATAAATTGTTAAAGTGATGTTCATAAATGATAATACTGATAGAGTAAGATGTTCAATGAGATTACTTGAAGAGACAAGACATCATTGAAAGATTGATGATCAAATGTTATTTATGAGAAAAGGAACAGGAAGAGTAACTATTTCTCTGTATTTGGAAAAAGGTTAACGAATCATCTAGAAGTTGTCGCCCTTCCTCACTTTGAACTTCCTCGTCACTTCTATCATGTTGTCAGCAGTCCCTCTAGGCTCTTGCTCTCTTTGAAGAGATTCAGAGAGTGACACCTCACTCTCTCTTCGTCATATTTATTTTCGTAATCACATTATAAACAGTCCTATATTCACTTACTTCATGTGTCTTCTTTCACGTTTCACGTATGAATCACGTGAAGTGTGCAAGATTTTTCATTTGTTTAATGTGCGTCTGAAAATGAGCGGTTGTGTTCCTCATTTTCGTGCTGCAGCTCTTCGGTCTTCTTCATCAATTCAGCTATTGTCTTGTACGCAGACGTTGGCAAACATTTGTTGTTGAAAAACGAAAAAACAAGATCTGTCCAGCTTCATCTCGTAAAGCTTGTGTAGTTTTCGTGTAAATGACCTGTCATATGAAAAAAAAGGTTTTATTCTCATCTCATGTAGTTGCCAACTCTCAATGAATAGCATGGTACAGAAGAGTATCATATGATCTGATGAACTGATGAATCTTTAAACTTTGATGAATTATCTTGTATTCTTTTAAAATGGTCTTCTCGCTCATTCACAACACATTTACCATCTGCTACTCATCCCTTGACTGTCATCTCTTCTTCTTATTTCCATTTTTGGAACTTTGCTTGTTAGCATTACCGTTTTAACCTTATATCATGCCATACATCACACGCAGCACACAAACTTCAACGAATCATATCATCAATGAGAGATGATCGTCTAGTGTATGTCATGATCGAAATCAATGTCTGTAGGCCACGTCTGCATATGTTGACGTCTGTCTGATGTGATGACGAAAATAATGTTTTTGATTGTTGTATACCAAAACGGGTTCACGTGGCCATCGTGCCAACAACAGCTAATGCGTTTTAACCCCTCGCCTCTCATGTTCAATCTTTCATTGCCTCTTATTCTCCACATTTTTTCCTCGTTTTACTATCTTCATCTCTGATTCTCATATAGTTGATCATATAATCTATTCCTCCTCTTCTTCTCTCTATTCATCTCTCTCTCAGTCCTCTCTATGCATCAGCACTTTCTCGCCCATATAGTTTATTTCTCTCACTCTTCTTTATTATATGTGGTGTGTGTGAATATGCATGAAGTACATATGTCTCTCTCTTCCGCCAAATACAGTCTAAAACAATCAGACACACTGGAATGTATAGCCTACAAGCGATGACATCATCATCTTCGGAATAGTATAGCCTTCTGAAATTCTTGTATTTTTCATGAGGCGATCTATGTGTTTGATCTAAAAGCTTGATTGCCTCTCATTTTATGTTTTTCTCTTCCTCTCTACCTCCCTCTCTCTCCCTCCATCTCTCTCCCTCTCTCTCTATCTTACTTACTTGACTAGACGACTCGGTCATCAAATCATTTTAACTTGTCAATCAACTGATGAAAAAAATTTCTTTTTTTATTTAAAAAAAAAGAAAAGAAAATGAAAACAGTTGACCATACAGGTCTTTGCTTTTTTAAACTTTTTTTTTCTCATTTCTCATATTATTATATGATTAAAGACGAAAAAAATATTGTTTCCATCATACATATACTATACTATAGATGTGTTTGGATGCTTATAGAAGTATAATAGCTTAATAGAGCTTTATGCATTGTCATCATATAGCCTCAGGGCATTTTCAGTTTCATTTTCATATTTGAGCTTCTCATGCCTTTTTTTCTCTCCATTCCCTTTTCTGATAGCTTCTTCTTCTTAACCCACATGATTCTTATTCTCTCTATCTCCCTCTTTACTTCCACTTTCATCTTTTTAATGTTTCTTCTTCATCATCAGACCCCTCCCTTGCTCCAACTATTAAAATAACAATGTTTCCAAATGTTTCCGGACACGTTGTTGACAAATATAGTATCACATTGCATGTAATAGGTTATTCTACACATATACTGTTAATGGTTCATGTGATGATAAGCTTATCGCTCCAACAATTTCGAAACTCGGAGAAAGGGTAGTCGTGTTTGCAGAGGTTTGTCCTGGAAATGCTGTTGTAGATTAGCATGTGGATGACGATGATTAAGGATCTATCTTACTGATTACGCGAACATGATAATGGCCGTTAAAATTTTATATTTTTACTGCCTTAGGCGGTGACGACAAACGGTTAAAGGCCAAACTGCTTTGCTAGTAGTGATGATAGTGGTGGTGATGGTGGTCGTAGTGGTGGTTGGTGGTGGTGCTGCTGCTGTTGAACAATCTGAAAATGAATATAAGAAATGATTATAATGAATAGAGATTTATTCATTATTAATATCAATGGCATAGCAATAGCAATGGATAGCAGCCGCAGCACATATTGCCCCTAAGGGCAGATACATATACAGCTTCAGATATGCTGCTCATTCCCTTCTTTACTAACTGCATAATTGACGTTCAATCTAAAATTCTCGTCCTTGAACTCACTCGGTGATTTTTCTAATTATGATCGAAATGAAGAAAAAGAAAGTAATTTCTCCTAAATCTATCTTGTTTCTTCTATTAGAGGATCACAAAGAGATAGATTGTGAAATAGAATGAAAAATTTGCTGAAGAATAAGAAGAAGAAGATGATGATGATGACTCTCTCTCTGATGCCTTTCTTGGCTTAAGCGCGCAGAACGGAAGAGAGAGGAATGAGAGGGGGGTTTCCTTCTTTAGCAGCTGTATGATTATTAAGACAACAACTTGTCTTATATCTGATAGGTATTATTCTCATATGTATCTGTCTCTGTCTTTCTCACCCTCTCATTCCATCTGCCTATTTTTCTCTTTATTTTTCTATTTTTCTCTCATACCTCTTCATACGCTCCGTATTCTTCATATTCTATCTCAAAAACTCTCTGCCGCTAAGATACTGTCTGATCATCTCTCTCCTTTTATCATCTCTTTTTCCTCTCCGCACCATTTGTACAGAAAGCGCCTGTTATCATGGAGGCGGAGACTAAGGCGGAGACAATCTACAGGCTGAATGGGCGCCGATCGAGTTATGAGTGCTGTGCGTTGTGATGTGGTCCTACATGAGACACGCGCTCCATATATTAACTTTTTCCTTTATTATTTTGGTTTAAGTCCTCTCTTTTTTTTTGTGTTTAACTGTTTCTGAAACAGCATTGATGTCGTCATTGATCTTCTGTTGCATTCGTCTTATCTCATTGTTTGGAATTCAGAAGCAACGCACCTAAAGGCGGCCTACTACGCTCATCGTTCCTCGCCTGTCGGAATATATTTTATATTCCCAACGTCTTCATATACATTTAACAGTTATCGCAAGTAATCATCACTTGCGCAGCTTTCTTCGTTGAATCCGTGAAATCATTGTTGCCGACGGGAGCTTTGCGCTTCATTTGCATCCGATTATCTTCTTTCTCAAGAGGAGCAGAATCCTATATAGAACTTGTAAACAGTAGTGGTTTTCGCTTCTATTGCGAATCTGCTACTTCAAATTCGAACATTTTGCTCCAATCGCCGTGTGCAAGGTTCAGCCAACGAGCTGAGCAATCCGCTAGTATTCCGGCCATTCACGTCTATTCGCCTTCGTCGGCTGTCTGTCGACCGACGGTATATGGTGA